ATCAGCAGTACCAATCATTATGGCAACCATCTTTGATGGACAAGTTAACACAATACATTCCCAGTGGTCTCAAGCAAAGTTTGTATTTTCATTCCACATAACTTTAAAATAAATAAAATAGATTTACCTCTTTTGCAGCCTAAACAGTTATTTGACATTTCTCTGCTGACATTTGATTAAACTTTTACTCCATTAATTGTATGGTCCCAGCACACAAATCCCATCTTTTTTTTTCTTTTTTCTTTTGGTAAAATACACTTTAGACAAATAAGCCTGGAAACAGTTAAATAAAAAACTGTAGTGCAACTAAATTCCATTTTAAATACAGAAATATCCCATACAGATTTGTAAACATGAAGCAACAGTGTCATCAGATGTCCACAGTTAAGAATAAACATGAACTTCTTGCTGTCTCATCTGCAATTTGGTGCAGCAGCCACAAGGTGCAAACAAAACAAAATAAAAACCCAATTTGCCATGGACCAATTTAAAGGTAAAAAAGGTAATGGTTTCCCCTTGACGTTAAGTCCAGTCATGTCTGACTCTAGGGGGCAGTGCTCATCTCCATTTCCTAGCCAAGGGAGCCAGCGTTTGTCTATAGACAGTCTCCATGGTCATGTGGCTAGCATAACTAAACACCAAAGTACACAGAATGCTGTTACCTTCCCACCAAAGTAGTACCTTTCTATCTACTTGCATTTGCATGCTTTCGAACTGCAAGGTTGGCAGGAGCTGGGACGGAGCAACGGGGACTCACCCCGTTGTGCAGATTCGAACCGGACCTTTTGATCAGCCAGCCCAGCAGCCCAGCAGTTTAAACCGCTGTGCCACCTGCACCCGTATGGACCAATTTAGAGACTGCCTAATTTGACTCAGGGCCTGAATGGAATCTTTACTTGGAAATCCGAAGCTTTGCACTTCCAACTTACTGATTTCAGAAATTAATATTGTTTTTTCCGTAGTTAGATAACATTTTCAGGCAGAGTCTCCCTTTCTGAGTTTACAAGACCTAAGCAGGGCTGTCAAGGACAGGACACCTTTGAGGGCATTCATTCATAGGGTTGTAATAAGTTGGAGATGTGACCTCAGCCTACCCTTCTGAGGGGACCAAGTTGGCCAGATGTTAGGCAACTGTGTGCAGGGGATTTATTACAAGCTGTTTTCTTTGAAGGTAACTACAGATAACTTATTTTAGATTGGCAGAGCTGGCTTAAATTTGCAGGCAATATTGTCAGTTTTGAAGGAATGCAGCCTCCCAGGTTGCAGTTGCAAGAGTAGCCTTTAGAATCCAGTTTCCAAAATAGACGTGTCTCCTCCATTTTTTGTGAAAAACTATGATGAAAATAGCGTGCATCATAGAGGTAGGTCAATGCAGTTTTTTTGAAGATTGGGTGCAGAATTTTTGCTGAAGGGGGAGACTTCAAATCTGGGAAGCAGTGGAGTGATTCACTTCCTTTCTCCCTCTTCATGGGAGTTTTGAGCAATTTTTTAAAAAAGTGGTATACATTGTAATGGTGTCAGTAGCTGTAAGTATTTCAAAGAAACACATGCATGGGCTATGGCAGTATGGTGGATGAAAAACAACTGAAGTTTTCTTATCTGCTCAGTAAAGCACAGATGTCCAAAAAAGTGCAATAGTGGATGATACTGTATATGGCATGACATGGAAGATGCAAACTAACCTGAATATTCAGCAAACATTCTCAAGATGGCACCCAACATGCCACCTCCTCATTCTGCCCAACAGTTAACTGTTATTGCAGCAGTCCCTGATCAGTGAGGCCTCTGTTGCCTCTATAATTTTTAGCAGCTAGCAGGCAACCTTAACCCTAATAACTCAGAAATAAAAAGTACAAGCTTCTGCCTGTCTGAATAGGACAAACATCTGTAGGAAAAAGTCAGAAGAAAGCAGGGCAGAACCCCCAAACTTGATCAAGTTCCTCCTGCCCCCACAGCAGAAAGGCCTTCCCTCTGATAAGCTGTTGGTCAGAGAAGCACTTTCTCCTGCTAAGAACTGAGAAAGGGAGCCTCTTGAGCGCTAAGCAGGGATAAACACTTTGCCCTCTGTGGTAGGGGTCAGAACTAAGGGAACATGTTTTCAGGCTGGCTGGAACCTCCCCTGCAGGCCAAAAATTCCCTATTCTTTCCTTAGGCCCATGAATTTAATAAAATCAGAATAGAGCAAGGAGATGAAAGGGCAACAAACAGCAGCTGAGAGAGTATTGCTCAGCAACTCATCTTAGAAATGGATATTCAGCCATTGGGCAGCATTAAAAAGTAATAAATATGAGGTAACACTGATCTCTGTAAGACACTGCTGTAAGGATTACAAGATAGTGCAGGGAAAGAGCTTCATAAATGCAAGTATTATAATACCATTAGGTATCTGAAAAATACAGTCATTAATGTGCACACTTAAAAGCATTAACAAGACCAAGATTTGACTCTCACAATTATTTATTTCAGATGGTTATATTAAGAAAAGCATGTTTTGTGCAGCAAATCAAAGACTCTACAGCCAGTATGGAAAGTGACACAATAACAAATGATGGACTACTGAATACAAGCCACTTATTTAAACAACAATCCTAAACATATTTACTCAGAAGTTAGTCCCAATGGTTTAATTGGAATATACTACAGAGTACATGTGCATTGAACCACAGCTTCAGTATTTCTATCTATGAAACAATTCCTGCATTGTGGGAAAAAAACTGGATGACTTTCAATTTCATTAACTTTCATACTAACAGTATTTCATATGTAATATTTAAAGACCTCCTACTGAAAAGGTGCCTTGCCAAGGAACTTTATTTGCAGATATGAAGCAAGGACTGTCCATCACTGAAAGACCAACCATTTTAAAATTGGCATTTCCAGGGGCTGATGGGTAGATGAGGATCAACCAACCATGTTTAACGGGTTGCTTTCCCCATAGATTTGAAAGCATGGTCAGTCATCAATCCTACAGGGGAGAATTAGCATTACTCCAATTCAGGAAGGGAGAAGCAAGGAGAATGGGGGAATTCCTTTGTAGCAGTGATAAAGAACATCTCAAGGGGAATTATCAACCTGTATATCAAGTGATAGGAAGGAAAGGGAGAGAGACAGGGGGAGTGTGTCCCTGTTGGTTCTCCTGGACCTCTCAGCAGTTTTTGATACCATCGACCATAGTATCCTCCTGGATAGGCTGGCGGGATTAGGAGTAGGAGGCATTGCTTGGCAGTGGTTCCGCTCCTACCTTGACGACCGATTCCAGAAGGTGGTGCTGGGGGACTCTGGCTCTGCACCATGGTAACTCTGCCATGGAGTACCGCAGGGTTCCATTCTGTCCCCCTTGCTATTTAACATCTACATGAAACTGCCGGGAGAGGTCATTAAGAGGTTTGGGCTGCATAGTCATCATTATGATGACACCCAGCTCTTTACTTTTCAACTAACCCAGGTGAGGCAGTGGCTGTCCTGAACTGGTGCCTGGCAGAGGTAATGGGCTGGATGAGGGCCAATAAACTGAAGCTCAATCCAGATAAGATGGAGGTTCTGATGGTGGGTGATTTGAGCTCCTGGGTAGGTGACTTAGGCCCTACCCTGGATGGGGTTGCACTCCCTCTAAAGGACAGGGTCTGCAGCTTGGGAGTGCTCCTCGACCCAGAGCTGTCCTTGGAAACCCAGGTGACAGTGGTGGCGAAGAGCACTTTCCTTCAGCTTCAGCTAATCTATCAGATGCATCCCTACCTGGAGGATTGCCTAGCAACAGTAACACATGCATTGGTTACTTCCCAATTAGTAACGCGCTCTACGAGGGGCTGCCCCTGAAGACTGTCCGGATACTTCAGATGGTGCAAAATAGAGCTGCCAGGATGTTGTCAGGGACTGGGCATTATTCTCTTATAACCCCAGTCCTCTATCAGCTCCATTGGCTTCCCATCGAACTCCGGGCTCAATTCAAGGTGCTGGTTATTACCTATAAAGCCCTAAACGGCTTGGGACCATGATACCTAAAGGAACACCTTTTTCCCTATTTGCCCTCCCGCCCCCAAGTTCAGTGACAGAAGCCCTCCTCCAGGAACCCTCTGTGAAAGATATTAGGAGACAGAGTACCCGGAGGAGGGCCTTCTCTGCAGTGACACCCTGACTATGGAATGCGCTCCCCAGAGAGGTCTGCCGGGTGCCGTCATTATATGTTTTTCGGCACCAGGTTAAGACCTTATTTAATCAATATTTTAATATGTTTTAATATTGAATTTTTGTTGCATTTTATTAACTTGCAGCCAGAGTGGGTTGTCAAATTACCTATGCTGTAAGCCGTCCAGAGATGCAAGTAATTGGATGGCATACAAATTTTATAAATAAATAAATAAAGGATGCTCTGCCATGGCAATTGTATTTCATAGGACAGGGGGATTTTTTTTTAAAGGACAGGCATTTTTCTCCACAATCTTATTACATATTCATTCAGAAGGCACTTGACATCAAGAATCAAGCATATTATGGGTAATGTGACTGAACAAAGCCAACAATGAAATTCTAGGATGGAGAAGTGCCAAAGCCAAGGGCAGCTCAAGTCTAGGCCTAAAGTTTTAAAACTGCTCATACACTAGAGAACATGAAACTCCTGGAAGCTTCTATTAGCTGCAATTTATCACACACATAGTATGTATGAGTCAAGCAGGACAAAACCGAATACCTTTGCATTTTAAAAAATCTGGTAGCATTTTCGAGTTAATAATTTAACTACAGCAAGCATCATTGTAAAAAGACCTTTCTTAAACCTTTTGGCAACTGAGGCAACCCTTTGAAGGATGTGATCATGATCTGAAGCTAACGGCAAGTCACTCAAAGTCAGTAGGAAATGTAGACTTCTAGGGTTCAAACCTATGCATGTTTAGAGATTTTAAAGTCCTACAACTTCCAGCATGTCACAGCCAGTAGTTACATCTGGGGAGTTCTCTGTATTTGAAGGAAAAAAATCATACAAGATTGTACCCCAAATCTCAAAGTGCTCTTTGAAGGTTCCCAGCCTTTATTTTCACTAACATTGTTCTACTTTTTAGTGTAATATAAAAATAATTAGAAAATATGACAATAAGTGAGATGACATGCTTAAGTATCAGCATACAAACCATCCTGTATTAGTGGCAGAAACTAAGTTAAGACTAAATATTGATTACAGGCAAGCTCTTTGTGATTTTCTATGTGGAATGCACTAATATGCTTCCTTTTCCAACAAACAGAATTTGTATGCTATATTCCATAGTACAAATACTCTCAATAGTATAGAATAAAATTAATTCCTTTGCATATGCTAGTACATATGCTTGGCTTTTTAAAAGACAGCAATGCAGGTTGCTTGAAGGGTCTTCATGGAAAGGGAACAAATAACTATAAGATAGAAATTATTTTATCTGCTCTTAAGCACATTATCTGATTTCTTCTTTATATTCTTTATATTAACTATCTGCAATGGCAATATTAATGCAGTTTTGAGGGCTGATGGGAAGAAAGCTCCAAAACAACTTTTTCGGTCTTTGTGGGTTTCCCTCAATTTGTCTTCTGTTCACCAGTCCTGCAAAAAACCCTAACAACTTACATATGCCGGTAGAGACAAGTATAGCAATACATCAGATAATGAGCTTTAAGCAAAATACTATTTATAGAACCAGAATCCAAAACTGAAACATTTTCAATAGTGGCATTAGAAACATAATTCATGCAGAGACACTCTGTCCTTGCTCAGAGGCACTGTCTTCCTGTTTATTGCTTCCTATATGCCACAACTGTGTGCTAGTACTGCAAGTCAGTTCATGGGTGCTGAACTGGCCCACACTAAACCCTGATTGAGTGTTTCATGCATCACTTTTTTCAATTAGCCATCCATCCGTTTCTGTTTCTACTGAATCACTGAATTGACATAGCTCTGAGCAGATAGCCTGCACTAACCTAGCCCAGACTGCAAAGCTGGTTAATTTGAGATCTTGATCATGCACATTAACAACTGGAAGTAGCATTTCCTCAACCTTAAAAAACTCCCAGGCTGAGAATGGGAAGAACTCATGAACAGTTGCTTCCAAGTAGTATAACCTGATTTCTTGCACAAAAAGGTTGCCATGCAAGTGCCAGAAGTTGAAGGCATCTCCTTTAACTCCAGAAGGCTAACCAAGGTTTCAGTTCTAAAATCTACTTACTTCGGAATAAGCCCCACTGAATACATAACACAATTATGGGTATCACTCAATTAGGCTACACATTTGGTCAGTCAAAGGAAGAGGCATCAGGGAGGTACCAGCTTATCAGATGACCCATAGAAATGTCGTGGGAAAGCTAAAATTAGTGATATACAGCCTGGCACATACAACCATACCTAATATGTGTAATGTATGGATGGCTGTTGCTTTTAGTTTCTACTTTTCCCCAGGATGACTTTCTCTACCCTCTTGAATTTGTTGAGCTCAACAGATAATTCCCAGTATCTAAGGTAGAGCCACATCAGTTTTCCATTTTGACGTTTATTGGTGTTTAACCAATTACTGCAAGAAGTATCATACTTAAAAATATCTCTTAAGCCAGTCTCCATTCCCAAGTCCAAAGCAACTGGATCAGTCGCTGCTCTAACTAGCAACGTTTTCTCTATTTCTAGTCGCTGCTGTCTTGGGAGCAGGAGACTGCAGTAGATGTTCTGCCTTTCTGTAAGGGCACCCTCAAACTCTTTTAGTAAAGTAGTAGCTTGATTCTGCCATTGCTCTTCCTTCTCCAAGCAACTCTGATACAAAGCACTGGCAGCTCCAGAGTATTGCATAATCTGTTTTTCTTGTTCTAATTTAGTACGTTCTTGTTCCAGAGTTTTTCTTTCTTCTACCAGTTTATGAGTCTGAGAGATGAGGGCTTTGCGAAAGCTTTCTGTTCTGTTCCGTGCCTTTTCCATCTCAAGCTCTAAGTGAGCAACAGTACGCCGGTTTTCTGTGATTATGTCATGATACTTAGATTCAAGTTCTTTTTGTACTAACAGGAGTTTCCTATAGAATTTTTTTCTCTCCTTTTCTATTTCTTTCTGAGACTCTCTGGACCAGATCCAACCTGGAACACACAAGTGTATAAAATTAATCTGCAAATCTCCATCATGATTGATACAAGTAAATTCTATGTTGAGACTTTCAGGACTGTGCCTCACCCTCAAACTCAAATGCACACACACATCTGTAGTTTGGTGAGTAAACTATGCTCAAACCCCTGTGAGAACAGCAGTGGTTCTTTGCTATTATCATCTACTGCAAGCAAATAAGTCTATTGCTTGAACAAATGAACCTTGCTCCTACTAGATACCAAATATGGTCCTTGTTAACAATTAGCTGCCAACCAATACAAAGGGCCAAAGTAATAAGGGGAACCACTTTTTTCTGAAATAGAGATTCTAATATATAAATACTTGGAAGGGATTTTTAAAAACCCACCTTAGGTTTGCCCTTTAAAGGATAAGCACACATAGCTTTAGAGGCATAAGTCATGTTCAAAACTGCTTTGCTAGATGCCATGAAGAGCTGCTGGTCGCAAAAGCACCCTCCTCCCCCACCGCCCTTGGATGTGTGAAATTAACTATAGTGTTACTTGCATTTGAGCCACTACTTTAACATATCCTCCTTACATAAAAATTGTGATAGTGATTAGAGTTTATTTAAGATATAGCTCTAAAAGCTAGAATTACTACCTTTGAAATACAGAATAATGACATGACAATTCATTGCAAGTACAATGGTACCTTGGCTCATGAACTTAATCTGTTCCAGGACTCTGGTCGTGACCCAAATTGGTCGTGAGCCAAGTTAAATTTCCCCATAAGGTTCAATGTAAATAAGGTTAATCCGTTCTGTAACCATTTTTTAAATCAGAAAAATCTGAAGCAAAGTGACAACAACAAAGATCAAGGCCATCTCCCCTCCCCGACCCCGAGCACAAGCGCGGCCATCTCCCCACCACCCCTAGCACAACCGAGATCGCACCTGTCATCCCTGCATGCGCCCATCATCTCGGCACGCACCCATAATCCCAGCGCGCTGGGGGGGGTGGGGAGAGACGGGCGCACTGGGGGAGGAAGAGATGGGTGCGATCTTGGCCATCTCCCCCCTGCCCCCAGCACGATTGCAGCCATCTCACCACTAGGGAGTGGGGTGGGGTGATGGCTGCGATCGTTCTGGTGGCCGGGGGAATGGCCGAGATTGTGCCTGTCTTTCCTGCAGGAGAGCGCCTCTGATAACGCATGCCTTCCCTGCATGAAAGCAACTGTGATCGCAGCCATCTCCCCACCCCCCCCCCCCCCGGGGGGAAATGGCCCCGATAGCAGTTCCATTCATGTAGGAAAGATGTGCATGATCACGGGTATGCTGCTGCAGGAAAGACGGGTGCAGCACAGCACAGCCGCGGGGGAGATGGCCAAGATTGCGCCCATCTTTCCTGCAGAAGCGTGCCTGTGATCACGCATGCCTTCCCTGCACAAAAGCAACTGCAATCGTGGCCATCTCTCCACTGCATGGGGGGGGGGGGAGGAATGGCTGTGATCTTGGTCACCACCCAATGCAGAGTTCACGACCCACATCAAAATTTTAATGAAATTTTTGTTGGTGACCCAATTTGTTCATGAACCAAGGCATTCGTGAGCTGAGGTACCACTGTAACTGATTACCTGGGTTGTTGTGTCATGCAAACCCAAAATATTTCTTACATGGTGACTTGTTTCTCAGCGACAAGCCACCATGCCAATCCATGGCTTGTTCTAAAGGTACCTGGGTTCATGACTAATTGTTGTGTCATCTAAATCTAGGAAACTGATCTCACTGTGGATCCAGGGGAAGCAGCAAGCAAGCTTGCCAGGGTCAGTGCCAGGGACATCTCCTCCACCTAGTGGCCAAACCATGAAATCTGTGTATGTCTGTCGCAAAACCTTGTTTACCCCTAGCAAAAAACATGTTTGAAAAAAAAATCCTTACTGCTTCCATAAAAAAGGTGGACTGCACTTTTCCCTTTTCCTGAGCATACTGAATTTCAGAAAAGCACTGCAAAGGTGGAAAACACACAGAACTATTAAGTCCAAACCTAAAACCTACAGAATCTCAGTGTAAAAGATGCGATGTGGTTGCACAACACGAGCAAAGTTCTTTTTACAGCTTTCCTCGACAGCTTCCTATTTGATATAGTTGACAAGTGAAAGTCATGAATGTGAAGTCTGGTTTTGTCAATGTACATGGATGGTACCTGCTTAAACAGTAGGCATTTATTGGAATGTTGACCAGGATGGCTTCACATTTAGGGAAATCAGAATTACCAAACAAGGCAAAACAAAACAAACCCACCACAAAACAAAAACATTTGCACACATTTCTGGCACCAAAAAGCTCTCAAATGGTGATGAATTGGTGATGGGCACTTTGGAGGGGTTATCACTTTAGAGATTGTAAAAAGTGACCCCCCCCTCCCGAAAAGGGGAGAGCCACAGCAGTTGCAAAACCTTCAGCTGCCAAGCCTCCTGAAATATTGGCAGGAGGAGATGTAAGGGGCAACCTACAGTGAACCCCATCATCTTTTGGATGCTCTGTGGGTTATTCTATGAACAGCCTACACTATGTAGCAAATTTGCAGAGTGGGTTGCCTTGTTGTGGAAATAAAGCCAAATTATCACAAAAGGAGAAGTACATGGTTTAGGAGCAAAATCATTTATCCATAACTGACACTGGTTCTCACATATGCTATAAATAACCAAACACAAGCCCATCAAGCTTTTGATATAAGTATGTTGTTGTTGTTGTTGCTAATCGTGAAGTCGTGTCTGACCCATCGCAACCCCATGGACAACATCCCTCCAGGCCTTCCTGTCCTCCACCATCCCCTAGAGTCCACTTAAGCCAGGGGTCCTCAAACTTTTTAACCAGGGGGCCAGTTGAAATGTGCCGGTGCTGGCCGTGGGGCGGAAAGGTAGTGCTGGTGCTGTGCGTGGGCCCGAGTGGGGGTGGAGGAACGCGCACTGAAGCAGGGATGGGGCTCACGTTGAGGAGGCAAGGCGAGGTGAGGGTGGGCACATGAGGCAGCGGCTTGCTCACTTGGAGATTGTTTTCTCCAAGTGAGCAAACCACTGCCTCCCCATGCACGGGTTGTGGGGGGCGGCAGCGCACGCGTGCACGGCAGGTCCAAATGGGCATGGCGGGCCGGATCCGGCCCCCGGGCTGTAGTTTGAGGACCCATGACTTAAGCTCACACCTACTGCTTCAATGACTCCATCTAGCCACCTCATTCACTGCCGTCCCCTTCTTCTTTTGCCCTCTGTTGTTCCCAGCATTAGGCTCTTCTCCAGTGAGTCCTTCCTTAGGGGGCCAAAGTATTTGAGTTTCATCTTCAGTATCTGGCCTTCTAAAGAGCAGTCAGGGTTGATCTCCTCTAAGACTGACTGGTTTGATCTCCTTGCAGTCCAAGGGACTTGCAGGAGTCTTCTCCAGCACCACAATACCTGCATATAATACAGTTTCTTTATGTACACTGGCCTTGTTTAAGTCAGGCCCATTCCAACAGCAACTTGCTTGACTACATTCGAGAGAGGCAACTGTGTCAAAGCATTCCAAGGAAAAACAGTGGGTTTTGTGACATCTCTGAGTTCATGCTATTTGTCTACATGTTGGTATATCAATTGATCTGATGAGCTAGACTAATCTGATGAAAGATTATATCATAATATATTAATTAGTCTTAATTCATTATTAATTAAGAGTCTTGCTAAATTCCAGTCTAAGCTGACAGCTACCAAAGTATGCAGCCCATAAATTGCAAGGTAAGAAAAAAATAATTCTATTGAGTGTAACTTACGGAAGGCAGCCAAGCCCACCATTGGAACCAACAAAGCATAATTCCATTTGCTTCCATGGCCTCCTTCATTCCTTTCATTAGGTTGGATGTTCCAGTTTGGAGGATCATTTAAATTATTCATGGATAAACCCTAAAATTAGAGAAAATGAGCTTTTAATTACCTGATATCTGGTTGCAAAATACACTGGCAACTTTTTACCTGCAAAGCCCCACACCACTACTACAGTTCTCTAAAGAACCAGCTCTATGCCCACCAGATATTGAGAATGTATGGAAATATGTCCATGGAGTGAGGAATAAGTGAGCAAAAGCATGAGGCCAGCCTCAGAATTCTGTTCCGGGGTTGGCTTTGTCCACCTGCCTTTCCCCGGGCTCCCTGCCTTCCGTCTGCTGCCTTGTAGACCTCTGCCCTTTGTCTCCACTGGTTATTCCTCTCCTAGCAGTGAAACTCTACTCTAGTCTTCCTTTCTTTTGTTCCCTTTTCCTTTATATTTTTACTCAGTTATGCAAAACCCAGCCATACAGATACCTTTTCTTAAACATCCCCGTGAGAATTATCATGGCAATAGGCATAACACTGGAGTGCCTAGGAGAGAGGGTTATTCTCAGGGATGAAAAAAAAAGCATGCTCTCTAATACATACCCCATTACTTTCAGCTTTTAAAACATGAAGCATTATATAGAACAGAGCTGGAAACCTCAGGACTGAGGTCCCCAGATGGCTTCACTACTCTCCCCCAACCACCAATCACTTGATGGATTCCCAAATTTTGTGCAGGCCATCTCACCCCATTCTCAAAGGCTGAAATACCTCACCTATGGGTTAGTTACTGAAAGTAAGAGCTTGAACCTGCATTATATATAGGTGTTTCTGGCTGTATCCATTGCGGGAGTGCAATCTCTGAGAGATTCTTTAAAACTGAATTTGACCCATGGGATAAAAGAGATTGCCCACCCCAGATACAGAAGAATGGTTAGGCAGCTCTTCTCCTAAGTTCAAATAGAAGCGTATATTTTACATCATTCTCCCCTGGCTCCCTTCAGATGATTGAACTCTTAAATCCAAATCAGCATGGCCAATACTAAAGAAATGCTAGAAGTTTTAATCTAGAACAACTGAAGGGTATAACACTGGGGAAGGCTGGTCTACATATATTAAATACTTCTGAATATTCAGGGTAACAGGTTAAATAATCATTAATGACAAGGCACAAGAAAGAACAGAATCAATGCTTACATTCAATTTGTCTTTAGCTGGCAAGCAAGCAAATTTGATCACTCAGAAGACAAATGGAAAAGCCTCTTGATCAATGCCATCCTAGACTAAAATAACAAACACACATTTTAGTCCCTGTTTGGGGTGGGGGGAAGGTGGACACACATATATAAACACATTCAATGACATTCTTATTTTGTGACACTATAATACTAGCTTAGGGCAGAATCCCATTCATCTTTAGACATAAAAAAAATCCTCTGCCAGTGTGCCCCAGCCAGCTCGTGGAAGAACTGGGAATTGTGTCTAAACAGACAAAGAACTGCACCTGCAGTAATTTAAAAATAAATTTTTACTTGGAAAAATTTAGACTGCTTATACATTTCAGCACCAGGTCAAAACCTTTTTATTTTCCCAGCTTTTTAATTGTTAAGTAATGTCACTGGATTTTATATTAGCTTTATCTCTATATATATGGTCATTGGCATTCTGTGATTGGTTTAATTCTTGTATTATGTTTTATTATCATTATTTATATATTATTGTGGATGTTATGTTGCTTAGTCTAGCTTACCTCATAGAGTTCTTGTGAGGATAAAATGTATTAGTTGTATTAGTTGTGATCTCCAGACCATTTTCAATGGTAGTCCCACATAGAGCAGACTGCAGTAATCCAGGTGGCAGGTTACCAGTACATGGGTTACTGTGGCAAGGCTCTGCTCATCCAAGTAAGAATGCAGCTGAGAAATCAGCCAAAGCTGACAGCAGGCACTCCTGGCTAGCAAGTACCCCTGGAAAACCAGGGAGAACTTGGAGTCCAGGAACACCACTAAGCTACAAACCTTCTCCTTTAGGGGGAGTGCAACCCTAGTTAGGGTCTGCTGAAAATTCCCTAATTGGAGTGGGGAGTACCTACCAACAGGATCCCCCTGTCTTATCTGGATTCAGTCTCAGTTTATTAGCCTTCATCCAGCCTATTACCAAGTTCAGACACTGGTTCAGGACAGCTACTGCCTCACCACCTGGTTCAGATGAGAAAGTGCAGCACCTCAGCTCACACCTCTGGATGATTTCAACCAGCAGTTTCATGTAGATGTTAAAAAGAATGGGGGACAAAATTGAGCCCTGCAGAACTGCATGATGCAAACGTCATGGCACAGAGTGACAATCCTCCAGCACCACCATCTGGGACTGGTCAGGCAGGTAGGACAGGAACTGTCACGAAGCTTTGCCACCTACCTCCAACCCAGCTGGCTGTTCCAGAACGATACCATGGTTGATGGTATCGAAAGCCACCAAAAGATCCAGGAGAAGCAACACAGTCACATTCCCGTCTCTCCCCCAGTAAAGGTCATCCCACAGGGCAACCAAGGCAGTCTCCATACCAAACCCAGGCCAAAAACCTGATTGAAATAGGTCTAGATAATCAGTTTCCTCCAAAAGTGCCTGGAGCTGCTGGCCCACCACCCACTCAATTTAATTAAGAGAGTTGGCAGGGGTTCTCTCATGCCTGCTGGCCTCCATTTTTGAGGCCATGTGGAGAATGGGTGAAGTTCCAGAGGACTGGAGGGTGGCATCAGTGATCCCAATTTTCAAAAAGGGTAGTAGAGGGACATGGGGAGTTACAGACCAGTTAGCCTTACATCCATTGTACGAAAAACAATAGAAAGGCTCATAATAGAGAGAGATCTAGTGATGCTAGATAGGGAAGGGAGGCTGGCAGCCACACAACACAGCTTCCACAAAAACAGGTCCTGCCAGACAAACCTTGTGGAATTCTATGACAAGGTTTCGAGATGGCTAGATGGAGGGGATGCAGTGGATGTGGTTTACCTGGATTTCAGCAAGGCCTTTGACAAAGTGCCCCATGATATCCTGGTGGAGAAACTGAGGAGTTTTGGGATACACCAAAGCACTGTCCAATGGATTAGGGCATGGTTGACTGACCGAAAGCAGAGGGTAACCATTAGTGGGGAATCATCGGGATGGCGGCCAGTGGCAAGCGGGGTCCCCCAGGGCTCTGTCCTGGGGCCGATCCTGGTTAATCTTTTCATCAATGACATGGAAGAAGGGGTGAACAGTCTGCTGATCAAATTTGCAGATGATACTAAAACTGGAGCAGTGGCCACAACTGAGGAGCAGGTATTCCAGATCCAAAAGGATCTGGACAGACTATGGAACTGGCCAGGAGACAACAGGATAGCATTCAATGCAGATAAGTGCAAGGTCTTGCACTTGGGGCATAGGAATAGGTGTCATAAGTACAGGTTAGGGGACAAGTAGCTGGAGAGCAGCACTTGTGAAAGGGACCTCAGGGTACTGGTTGACTGCAGGCTGAACATGAGTCAGCAGTGTGATGTGGTGGTCAAGAGGGCGAACACCACCCTTAGTTGCATAGCCAGAAGTGTGGCTTCTAGATCGAGAGAGATATTACTACCACTCTGCTGCACCTGCAACTGGAATATTGTGTCCATTTTTGGGCCCCTCATTACAAAAAGGATATAGCTAGGCCAGAGTCAGTGCAGCGTAGGGCCACAAGGTTGGTGGCTGGTTTGCAGGGCATGCTGTATGAGGCAAGACTGAGGTAAACGGGTCTCTTTAACCTGGAGAAGAGGAGACTCAGAGGGGATATGTTGGCGATATACAGATGTGTGAGGGGATGTCACACGGAGGTGGGTAGAGACCTGTTCTCCCCTGCAGAGGAAGGCAGGACACGCTCCAATGGAGCAAAGCTCAGGGAACCAAGGTTCCATTTAGATACCAGGAAGTACTTCCTGACAATTAGGACCCCAAGAGTATGGAATGGGCTTCCACGAGAGGTCGTTGAGGCCCCTTCGGTGAGGGTGTTCAAAGATAGGCTGGACATGCACATGGTGGGCAAGTCGTGAGCGGAGCCAGCAGGAGCTGGGGGTCAGACTAGATGGCCCGGGAGACCCCTTCCGAGTCGTTCTGTTTCTATGTTTCAATCACCTTGCCCAAGATTGGGATATTGACTATTGATCTAAAATTATTTGCATTGCCCAGGTCCAGGCCCAGCTTCCTTAGTAATGGTGTTATAACAGCCACCTTTAAAGGGGCCGGCACCACTCCCTCTCTCAAAGAGGCATTAATAGCTTCCTGGACCCAGGTGCAGACCCCCTTCCTCAATCTCCCAATAAGACATGATAGGCAAGGGTCAAATGGGCAAGTGGTAAGCCAGACTTGTCCAAGCACCATGTCCACATCATCAGGGCACAGTAAATGAAATTGATCCAAGAAAACCAGATCAGATGGTGTGCTAGACATCTCTGCTGATGGATCTGGAACAACTGTGGTGTCCAAGTTGGATCAAATATGAGCAATTTTGCCCTCAAAGTGTCATGCAAATTCGTCACAGTGGGCTGCTGAGGGTTCAATAATATCGCTTTTGGGGCCAGTGTAGAAGGCTCCAAACCACCTGGAACAGCTCTGCTGGATGCAATTGGAATAAAAGTGTCTCTTAGCCACCTTCACTGCCACGGAATAGGCTCGATAGTGAGCATTATGGTGTGTTGGGTTGGATTTGGCCAGAGTTTTCCTCTACTTACACTCTACTGTCTTCTCTCCTACTTCATTGCCCTCACCTCAGATGTATGCCAAGGAGCAGGCTGGGCTTATGTCAACTGCCCAGATCATCTCCAGATTCCACAGAGACTTGGGCTTCTATAGGAGTACTTACCACACCAGCCAGAAAACAACCCAAAGCCATTTGGAACCTGTAGACTTTGAGGGCAGACCAAATTAATGGGTCCTTCACCAGAAGGAAGAGGAAGCTGAAAGTTCAAACCTCGAGAGGTGATCTGACCATGACAAAGGGGTAGTTTCCAAACCCCCAACCATCAGATTACCATCTTCCTGCCAAGTTGAGAAAACCAGGTCCAGAGTGTGTCCCTTCAGATGTGTTGGGCCAATGACATGTTAAGACAGCCTCAAGTATTGAGCCGCCCTGGATAAGGCAGCCTCAGCATGGAAGTTGAGGTCACCCAAGTCCAACATCCTAGGGGTCCTAAACACCAGGCCCGAGATGACCTCTGTCAGCAAAGGCAGGGAGCCTGCTGGGTAGCAGGGCAGGTGGTAAACCAACAGAATCCCTAATCTGTCTCAATCAACCAGCACCAGGGAAAGGCCGGGACCCAAGTTGACAGGAAGCCTAGAGAGAGGGATAGAATCCCTTGAACCACAGCAACCTCCCTCCCCAGCCCTCCAGGTGATGTTGGTGCTATACCAAGTACCCAGGTGGGCATAGCTGGGAGAGAGTAAACCCCCCCTCCCAGGACTCAGTGATACAGGCCAGTTCGGCACCCTCCTCCACGATTAAATTGTGAATCAATAAGATTTTATTATGTGCCAACCAATAATGTGCATTGAGCAACAGCACCGCTAGGCCAGAGGACAAACTAGCATGGTTACCAGGGTTATATAATCATCCATGTGCTTTGTTTTGAAACAATTACTTATCATTAACTTTGGTCAGGGCTAGAAAAAATATACAAATGTTAAGCTGGCAATCCTTTGGCTGATAAATGGCCATTTTGTTGCTTGTTATTTCTGTAAAAGAGGTTACCTGTCTGTGAAGTTCCTGTGTTTTTATCCTGGAGCATGGAATCAATATGGGCTCAGACTGACTTATAGAAATTATCTTCAAATCTACTGATCCATTAGTATACCCTGGTGGCAGTGAGACTTCTACCCCAAAATGCACTGACTGGCACAAAGGTGCTGGCTGGCTGCCAGGGATATAAGGGTAGCTGCTCCAAGTGAATAAAAGTAACTGGCAAATAAGAATTCATATTTTATGATAGCAGTGAAATTAGAATTTTTTTTATTATATCTAAATCCTGCCTTTTTCCTTTTCCTTTCAGGGAACCCAGTAAGATTTGTGTCGGAGAGTACACTACACTGGCTTTTAAGATAAATTACAGCTGGGAAAAGTCTATACATTGTTATAGCTACTAATCGTCATCAATGTGGAATTTCAATGGTGGGATAACCTGGGTGGTTCCCACATGTTTGGCTTTATCAGTGAGGATAACCTAGAAATGGGATGTTTCTTGGCACAGACACATAAAGGCATATGGAAGCAGATACAGAAAACTCAGAGAGAGGCAGGATAGATTCACTTTAATTCATTTTGCCCAGGCTTGCTCTCAGAAAAACTCAAGGTCTGCTATTTATGGGGAAGTCTAGAGCAGGTTTTTTTCATCACATGAAAATGAAATGGCTATATTTGGCATATAAACATTAATATTTGAAAAATGAACAGATAGGTTCTAATTTCTACAGAAAAGCTTCTTTTAACCCAATGTAGTTTGGCATTCCCCTCCATGGATCACTGCCTTGTCATGGCGAAGGGGCTTGCATAGCTCAATGAAGCTATGAGCTATGACATGCAGAGCCACCCAAGACGGACAGGTCATAGCAGAGCTCTGACAAAATGTGATCCACTGGAGAAGGAAATGGCAACCCACTCCAATATCTTTGCCATGAAAACCCCATGGACAGTACCAAAAGGCAAAAAGGTATGATGCCAGAAGATGAGCCCCTCAGGTCGGAAGGTGTCCAATATGCTACTGGGGAAGAGCGGAGGGCTAGTACTAGTAGCGCAAGAAAGAATGAAGCGAATGGGTCAAAGCCAAAAGGACATGCAGTTGCCGATGTATCTGGTAGTGAAAGGAAAATCCGATGCTGCAAAGATCTATACTCCATAGGAACCTGGAATGTAAGATCCATGAATCAAGGCAAGCTGGATGTGGTCAAACAAGAGATGACAAGACTGAACATCAACATCTTAGGAATCAGTGAACTAAAATTGACAGGAATGGGGGAATTTAATTCAGATGACCATCAGGTATACTACTGTGGGCAAGAATCCCTCAGAAGAAATGGAGTAGCCTTCATAGTCAATAAAAGAGTAGGAAAAGCAGTACTGGGATACAATCTCCAAAATGACAGAATGATCTCAGTTCGAATCCAAGGAAAATCATTCAACATCACAGTAGTCCAAGTCTATACCCAACCACTGATGCTGAAGAGGCTGAAGCTGACAGGTTCTATGAAGCCCTACAACACCTTCTAGAATTAACACCAAAAATGATGTCCTTATCATCATGGGGGATTGGAATGCTAAAGTAGGAAGCCAAAAGATAACCGAAATAACAGGCAAGTTTGGCCTTGGAGTACAAAATGAAGCAGGGCTCAGGCTGGTAGAATTTTGTCAAGAGAATACAATGGTGATAGCAAACACTCTTTTCCAACAACCCAAGAGACGACTCTACACATGGACATCACCAGACGGTCAACACAGAAATCAGATTGACTATGTGCTCTGCAGCCAAAGATGTAGAAGCTCTATACAGTCAGTAAAAGCAAGACCAGGAGCTGACTGTGGCTCAGATCATCAGCTTCTTGTTGCAAAATTTAGGGTTAAATCAAAGAAAGTAGGGAAAAGCACAAGGGCAATCAGGTATGACCTAAATCATACCCCTGATGAATATACAGTAGAAGTGACAGATAGATTTAAGGAATTAGATGTGATAGACAGAGTGCCTGAAGAACTATGGACGGAAGTTTGCATCATTGTACAAGAGGTAGCACCTAAAACCATTCCAAAGAAAAAGAAATGCAAGAAAGCAAAATGGCTGTCTGAGGAAGCTTTACAAATAGCTGAGGAAAAAAGGGAAGTGAAAGGCACGAGAGAAAGAGAAAGATACACCCAATTGAATGCAGAATTCCTCAGAATAGCTGGAAGAGATAAGAAAGCCTTCTTAAATGAACAGTGCAAAGAAACAGAAGAAAACAATAGAATAGGGAGGACCAGAGATCTCTTCAAGAAAATTGGAGATAAGAAGGGAATGTTTCATACAAAGATGGGCATGACCAAAATGACAGGGACCTAACAGAGGCAGATATGATTAAGAAGAGGTGGCAAGATTTCACAGAAAAACTATACAAGAAAGAGCTTAATGTCCCTGATAACTACGATGGAGTGGTCACTGACCTCAAGCCAGACATCCTGGAATGTGAAGTCAAATGGGCCTTAGGAAGTCTGAGCAACAACAAAGCTAATGGAGGCAACAATATTCCAGCTGAGCTATTCAAAATCCTAAAAGACGATGCAATAAAAGTGCTACACTAAATATGCCAGCAAATTTGAAAAACTCAACAGTGGTCACAGGATTGGAAAAGGTCAGTTTACATTCCAATCCCAAAGAAGGGCAATGCCAAAGAATGTTCAAACTACCGCACCATTGCACTCATTTCACATGCTACCAAAGTTATGCTCAAAATCCTACAAGCTAGGCTCCAGCACTAAGTGGACCGAGAACTACCAGAACTGCAGGCAAGATTTTGAAGAGGCAGAGGAACTAGAGATCAAATTGCCAACATACGCTGGATCATGAAGAAAGCTAGGGAATTCCAGAAAAACATCTACTTCTGCTTCATTCACTATGCTAAAGTCTTTGATTGTGTGGATCACAAAAAATTGTGGAATTTCCTAAAGAGATGGGAGTACCAGACCATCTTATTTGTCTCTTGACAAACCTATATGCGGGTCAGGAAGCAACAGTGAGAACTGGACATGGAACCACTGGTTCAAAATTGAGAAAGGAGTTTGGCAAGGCTGTATACTGTCGCCCTGCCTATTTAACTTATATGCAGAGCACATCATGAAAAAGGTGGGGCTTGATGAATCACCAGTTGGAATTAAGATTGCTGGGAGAAATATCAACAACCTCAGATATGCAGATGATACCACTCTCATGGCAGAAAGTGAAGAGGAACTAAAGAGCCTCTTGATGCGTGTGGAGGAGGAGAGTACAAAAGTTGGCTTGAAACTCAACATTAAGAAAACTAAGATCATGGCATCTGGTCATCTCACTTCCTGGCAAATAGATGGGGAAGAAATGGAGGTAGTGACAGATTTTATTTTCCTGGGCTCCAAGATCACCACAGATGGGAACTGCAGCCAAAATTTAAAAGATGCTTGCTCCTGGGGAGGAAAGCTATGTCAAATCTAGACAGCATACTAAACAGCAGAGACATCACCCTGCCAACAAAAGTGCGTATAGCCAAGGCTGTGGTTTTCCCAGTTGCAATGTATGGCTGTGAAAGTTGGACCATAAGGAAGGCTGAACGCCAAAGAATTGAGGTCTTTGAATTGTGGTGCTGGAGAAGACTCCTGTGAGTCCCTTGGACTGCTAGGAGATCAAACCGGTCAGTCCTAGAGGAGATCAACCCTGACTGCTCTTTACTCATAGAAGGCCTGATACTGAAGATGAAACTCAAATACTTTGGCCACCTAATAAGAAGGAAGGACTCACTGGAGAAGAGTCTAATGCTGGGAACAATTGATGGCAAAAGAAGCAGGGGACAGCAGAGAATGAGGTGACTAGATGGAGTCACTGAAGCAGTCGGCATGAGCTTAAGTGGACTCCATGGGATGGTGGAGGATAGGAAGGCCTGGAGGAGTGTTGTCCATGGGGTCACGATGGGTTGGACACAACTTCGCGACTAGGAACAATTTCGGCATTGGTTCAGTTTAGAAATTGACTTAGTATTTTTAACATACTCTTTAAGGTTAAAATCTGATTATTATTACTAGTATAAAGGCATACATTTTTGTAGTTTGCTATATCATCTTTTTGCTTAACCAACTCTGTCTTGGTTGGTTGCACTTTGTCATTACATGAGTATGTAACAATAATCTGATCCACTCTACAGTCTACTTCACCTATAATTCTGCTGCGACTTATTCATTTATTATTTATTAAAAGCTTTTCTAACCAGTCCACCACAAGTGTCTCAGGATGATGAAAAAACAAATAAGATAAAACAAAACAGCACAGCATCCTGTGACTTAGGATAATAAAACCCCAGTTAAAATCATCTGAACATTAAAATGATGGGAAAATAAAAAGGTTTCCAGCTGACACTGAAAAGAAAATAGCATCAGTGCCATATGAACCTCCCTGGGAAGTGTATTCCATAGTCAGGATGCCACCACAGAGAAGGTCCTCCTCTGGGTAGCCACCCTCCTAATCTCCTTCAAGGAGAGCTCCCAGAGCAGGACCTCTGCCCTCAGATCTCAAGGGGAGGGAGGGCTAATAAGAAAGAAGGCATTCCTGCAGGTATCCTGGACCCAATCAGTTTAGGACTTTGTAGGTCATCGCCAGCACCTTAAATTGGGCTGGACTTCAACTGGCAGCCAGTGTAACCGATAGATGACTAGCAATATATATGAGCACATGCTGGTCCCTGTTAACATCCTGGCAGCTCTATCGTGAACCGACTGAACTATCGGGACCATCTTCAAGGACAGCCCCAGTGTAGAGCGTGTTGCAGTAATCCAATCGGGAAGTTACCTGAGCATGGGTCACTATTGCGAGGCAGTGCTCATTCAGGTAAGGATGCAGTTGGTGGATCAGTTGAAGCTGAAGGAAACCACTCCTCACCATTGTTGTTACCTGAGACTCCAGAGACAGCTCTGGGTCGAGGAGAACTCCCAAAATGCAAACCCTGTCCTTTATGGGGAGTGCAGTCCTGACCAGGACAGGGCTAAAATCACTTAACTGGAAGGCTGAACCAACAGGACCTCCATCTTGTCTGGACTGAGTCCCTGCTCCAGAACTATATCAACTGTGGAGTCCAGCTTGTGGTGAATCTGAGCAATTTTATCCCTAAAGTGTTGGACAAAGTCGTCACAGCGAGCCACTGATGGTGCAATAGAATCCTTTTTAGGGTCAGAATGTAATAGGCCGTACACCACCCAGAAAAGCTCAGCTGGACAGCACTGTGAGGATGCAATGGGAGAAGAATTCCTTCTTCACTGCCCTCACCGCCACAGCATAGGCTCGATAAGGAGTTCTAAGATGTGCTCGGTCAGATTCATCCTTGGATTTCTTCCACCTATGCTCTAGTTGTCTCCCAGCCTGCTTCATTGCCTGCAGCTCAGGCATATACCATGGCGATGAGTGGGCTCTGCATGACAGGAGAGGATACTTAGAAGCAATCATTTCAGTTGCCCTGGTCATTTCCTCATTCCACAAATCAACCAGGGCATCGACAGAAGCACCAGCCTTATCAACCAGAAAATCCCTCAGAGTCCTCAACAATCCATCTGGATCCATAAGACACTGGGGGCAGACCATTTTAATAGGGTCCCCTATTAGAGAGAGAAACTGGCCCTGAGTTCAAACCTCACAAGGAAGTGATCTGACCATGACAAAGGGGTTAGAGTCAAATCCCTCTCTTCCAGATCACCATCTTCCTCCCCTATTTATTTTATTTATTTATTAAAACATTTCTATGCCGCCCCTTGCCGAAGCCTTTGGGCGGCTTACAACACAATAAAATACAATAAAATACAAAAATAACAATATAAAATTAACAATATAAAATAAATAACAATATAAAAGAAGTCACCCTGGCCAGATAAATAAGCAAATATTGTTAACAATTAAAATGACGTTTAAATAAAAAGGTCTTCACCTGGCGCTGAAAAACAAATAACGACGGCGCCAGGTCTAGAATGTGGTTTCTTTCATGCATTGGGCCAGTGACATGTCGAGACAGCCCCATGGCTGTCATGGCAGCCATGAAGTCTGAGCTGACCCAGACAGAGCAGTCTCAGCGTGGATAATGAAGTCCCCCAGGACCAACATCCTGAGGGTCCTCAACACCAGGTCTGAAACGATCTCTGTCAGCTCAGGCAGAGAATCTGCTGGGCAGAAGGGTGCACGGTACACCAACAGAATCCCTAATCTGTCTCAATCACCCAGCACCAGGTACAAACACTCCAGGCCCAGTCTCAAAGGGACCAGAAGCCCTGCAAGGGAGTTTGAATCTCATTTAATTAGGGCCATGCCCCCTTCCCTCAAGGTGGGGTTGGGCTGTACCAGATACCCAGGCAGGCACAGCTGAGTGAGCGACACTCCCCCCCCCCCACTACTCCCACACAGGTCTCCGTAGTACATGATTAAGTCATGGATGAGACTTAATTTGGACCGACCTGGCATTCAACAGCAGCAGCACCAAACCTGAGGGCTGGTTGATGACACTACCGGGGACGTTCTGGCTGGAGGAGAAACCAGAAGAGAGAACAGATACTAACCATCTGTCCCTCCTCTTTCTGTAATGACATGTTAAACCCCCAATGCCCTATCTTTCCTTGCCCATAACCACCCCAATGGGGCTCGCACTCACTTCCCAGGAACTCCCATAACAGTTTAAAACTAACAAGTAAAACTAGCAATAAAACTAGGATGCTGTGTAATTAAAATGGCAGCTTGACTTATGGAAGCTGTATAAGCAAGTGGCCTTCAAAATGTCCTGTCCTTGACACCCTTGCTCAGCTGTGGTAAACTCAAGGCTGCGGATTCCTTCAAGGAATCAAGCCATTTCCTATTTGGCTTTTCCTTTCTCCTTCTGCCTTTGGCTTTCCCTAGCATCACTGTCTTTTTCTGCATTAATACCAACCTATTATTCGGTTTGCTGCCTTACCCAGGGATCTGCCTGTCAGAGGATTTGTTTTCACAATTCCTGGATAGCTTGTTTTCTCCATTCTCCATTTGTTCTCACCCTGTATCCCAAATGCATTACGATGCTGCAGTCCTGGCATACAGAGCAGTGGGACTTCCCCCCCCTCCATTCACTTGCTGCCACCTCTGTAGGCTGGTAAAACAACTATGATTCTGTGCTTGCACAAAACAATCCATAGTTTAAATAACCCAGAGTTCACAACCAAACAATAAAACAGTCTTGCTTTCTGAGTTGTTTGTGGTGACATGACTGGATTCACACATCACAGTAACGCAGACTCTAACAACCTATACTAAATGTTTGCATCAAACCTGTGACTATAGCTAAAGAAATTGAAATTCAGAGTACATGATAAGCAAAAGGCAAGAGCTGGTAGTTAGTTTGAACCGAACAATTTTCATGAGATAGAAGTTCTATTAAATTCATTTGTTTATGATGAAATGCAATTATAACTCTAAGCAACAAACTTAGTAGTATTGGGGTTGTTCATTGTTTTAAAAATATTTAAATATTTTTGGTGTTTTAAAAGGTTTTTAAATCAATTTTTGTTTGCCTCGACACTTGTGTACTGTATGTCACTCTCTCTCCCGCATGCACCAATGAGAGGAGAGAGGGGCAAGCGAGGTAGCCTGGGCTACCATCATGAGGAACCCTGTGGCAAGCGGCGCAACTACACTCAGGGGCCAGAGATTTCCTAGCGCTGCTCGAAGATACAACCGCCCCATTAAAACAGGACCATGCGAGCTCCTGTAATCTGAACCTGTCTTACCCTGTCGGTAAGAATGGGGCATTTAGCCTTCTCCAGCTGGAAGGCCCCCGTGCTTGGGATTACAACTCCCAGCACTCCTGGCCACTGGCCGTGCTGGCAACGACTGATGGGAGGTGAATCTAAAATTTCTGCAGGGCACCAGATCCTGACCCAGGAGACCAGGATTCTCAGGGCCCTCCATGTTCAAGTGCAGCCACCTCCAATCATAGTTTTCATTTCAAATGCCTTCCGCTTACGGACTAGAAGGCCCACTTCAAACGTTCATACATGCAGATTTACGCCAATAAATGCTCACGTGGCACGGAGAACAGGAGCGAAGGGATGAACCAGCAGAAACGTCCAGAGAAAAAGCACTGCTGCGTGCCAGCCGCGGCTGATCGCCCAGGTTTCATTTATTACGCATGCGTAGGCCGCCCCTCTACTTCGCCCATTTTTTCGGAATAAACCATCTTTGCAAGAAAAGGTAAGATGCTCTTCCTGGAAGGCTCGAGTATAGACGTAACGAACGGGGCAAGACAGACATATCGACCTATTGGAAACGAGACATCCTTGCTACTCCGGACGTTATGTATTTTGTTTTTTCTCCTTAGGAAAAGCTTTTCTAACACCATACTTTCAGCCCCTGCAAATCCTTATCCCGGCCTCTATTTTTTCTTTCCTAGAATAAACAACGAAGAGTGTTGTGGCATCTTAAAGATTAACACAGTTTTGTCTGCCTTTACTGCAATGAACGCTACCCCTCTGAGATGATAGAGGTTGGTATGTCTCATTGTGGCATTTGCACGCTCGGAATGCGCTTGCGTTTTACGCACGCGCAGTTGCTCAGCTTCAAGCCCTCTCCAGTCTACTGCGAAATGGCGGCTGCTGAAGCATTGCGGCGACTGCGGTATCTGCGGCTGCTCCGCCCTGTAAGTGGTGTGCGCGCGTACTTGCCGTGCTCTGGAGGGTGGGATTTCGAGCTTCGGTCTTTGGGGAGCCAGTCGTGGTTCACCTTCATGGACGGGTGGAGGACGAGGAGGACGATTATGAGATTTACAGATAATTCTCCGCGTGCATCATTCTTCCCCAGTCTGACGCTTTCCAGATGTGTTGAACTGTTGCTCGTATCATTCCCAGCCAACATGACCGTTGGCTGGGGGTGATGGGAATTGTAATCCTGCACATCTGCAAGGCAGCGGCTTAGGTAAGACTGAAATACATTCGCTTGCTGTCTTTGTTTTGTATTATATTTCAATCCCTTCCTTCAAGTCTGCTCTTGGCTAGGGTAAGATTCACGGCTTCATGATAATTCAGTGTGAGCTTCATGATTAGGGGATTTGAACCCCGATCTATCCCCTCAAATCCATGCGCAATAATGCATTAGCAACACCACAGTGGCTCCCAGACCTTGCAACGAATCTCTTCATATGGATATTGCTATATGGTAAATGGAATACTATAGCTGAGAGAGTGGTTTACCAAGGGCAGATTAGTGAGTCTGTGTCAGAGGCACATGTCATATGATGCACTGCAGTACTTCCTAGGTCTGACTTTTCGTTATATCATTGAGTTGGCTCTTCTTGGCTTCTCAAGCCTCTGCTTTCTCTTGATTGGCAGAAAAGCCTGGTTAGCAGGGTTTGCTGTTTTCTGTATCATGGTGAAATAAAAGCACATGAGAATAAGAAATAATGGACCAAAAGATACTCCGACCTTTTGATTTGGTGAACTTCTTCCCTAACCTGGGTTACTATACTTGGGATGTAGGGACTGGCAGATGTCTAGTGAATGTTTCAAAGGGAGTTTTTCTCCCATCATAGCTTCCTGCTGAGAAAGCTGTACCTGTTGGACTTTTGCTTGTCACATAGTTCTTGAACTAATTGTCGTGAGAACCCAAAGAAGAGCTGGTAGGAAGTGCAAAAGCCTGTGGTTTGCATAGGGTCACTCCTATAAAATTTCATGTTTTATCTACATGTTTCCGGCCACACTTTCCAACTCCTGATAGTGAAACTAGTGTTCCTTTCTTTCATTTACATGCTTGCAAGGCGCTGAAACCCATAGATAGACCTACAACTGAGGCTGCTTTGCAGGAACCGAATATGCCTGGTCTGCTATTAAATTGTGTAATAACTGTTCTAAAATGGGTTGTATCACTTGTGGAGAAGCAGGATGCCAAAATAACAGATACAGACAATACTTCTCTCCTAAGAGACTAAGGCTGAAAAAACCATCATCAATTATCTCTAGAGACTTGCAGCTGGATATATTATACACCATACTTGTGAATTGTTTTACCTAATACCAGACTATTTGTGTTATCCACAGGCACAGTTTTGTGTATGTTCACAGAATGTGATAGAATGGCAGTGACATTCTGCTGTTCTTCTTACCTGCCTTATTCAGTCCCAACACACATAGCATTCATACTGCATGCATATGACAAAGGCGGCTATGGATCATGAAAGCTTATGCCAGAATAAATGCAATAACCTTTAAGGTGCCATGGGAATTAGTTTGTTTTGCTATCAGCAAGATAAGAAATGTATGATAGTTTAAATGTAGAACCTCAGAGAAGAAATATCACCCTCTCAATGGGAAGCTTTATGGAAGAAAGACATTAAATTCACAGCTAGTCAAGCACTAAGAGAACATTGGTATAAGATTTATTTTTTGTGGTATATTACCTTGAAAGATATAGAAAAAATAGACAAGAATTACAGTGGAAAATGTTGGAAATGTAGTAAGGTAGATGGAACTTTCTACCATATGTGGTGGACTTGTGAAATAATTAAAAGATTTTGGAAGTTGATACATGTGGAAATACAAAAATCCTTTAAAACTAAGCTTCCTATGTGTCCTAACAATATACTTTTGAACATAATGCCAGAGTTATTCAAATATATGACAACTGCAGCAAGAATTACAGTTGCTTCTAAATGGAAAACACCAGAATGCCCAACAATTGAAGACTGGAAAAATAAGTTTTCAGAGTATGCTGTGATGGCAAAATTAACTAATGATGTAAAGAAAGGACTCACTGAAGAATGTAATGATAACAGAATTATTCTATTTTATCCATTAATATAATGTAAAAGAAGCTGTTAAAACTTTATTGATGATTTATAATTGACTTGAAGTGACTGGAAAATTTGTTTGTACAGAAAACTATAGTAATTCTTTTTTCAAACTTCAACTAAGGATTGATTGATGGAAAGGTAGAGATTTTTGGTCTCTGGAAATTTGCAGTTTATGAATATATTGGTTATACTTGTTTAAAATCCCTTGGCAAGTTTATTTCTCTTTTTCCTTACACCATTCTTTTTCTGTTTGTTATCTATTTTAAGAAAACAATAAATGTATTTTAAAAAGTTTGTTTTGCTGACATAGACTAATCCTGCTACCCACAAGAAAAGGTAATTCTAGAATATGTCTTTAAAGAACCACAAGGTGGGAGAAGTCTGAAGACCTGTGTGGTCTTTATGTTGAGCAGAAATGTGTGGTCTTCCTCAGTAAGGAAGGCACTGATCTTGTGCATGCAATGCTCGTAGGCCTGAGTGTGAGGTCTTACCTGCATCCAATGAAGGGTGCATGGCAGCAATGGTGATTTCTACCAACCAACACCTCAAGTCCTTTATTGCAAGTAGAGAGCTGTTTTTTGACTATTTAGGACCATGGGTCCTCAAACTACGGCCCACAGGACAGATCCGCCCGCCATGCCCATTTATCTGGCCTGCACCACCGCCGGGGGGGTGGGGTGGGGGGAGGCGGTGGCTTGCTCTCTGGGAGATGGTTTTGGAGTCGCTGGGAGATCTCCAAGTGGGCGAGCTGCTGCCGTGCGTGCCTGTTGCCACCTCGCATGCGCCCAGGCACTCCCGCCTCACCGGCCCGTGCCAGTCGCCGCTGCCTTTCAACTGGACCCCTATTGAAAAAGTTTAAGACCCATGATTTAGATGAAGAGTTGCAGAGGGAGAGTGAAGGAGGCTGGGACACTGTTTGGATATGACATAAGTGGTAGCCAAGTCTCCTCCCTTCCATGCCCATCTCCATCAAGCATTTTCTTTTCTCTGAGGCTGGATTTTCAGCCAGGCAATTGGACAGGCAAGTTGGCATGGTCTTTCTGTGCTAGCTGTGAGGGGGGCAGGGCAGAGGCTCAGGGTTAGCATCCCACCTCCAAGGTCATACAGCCTTGGAGCTGTGGTTCCAAGTTGGTCTATTGCCTACCAAACAACTGCACCAGAAGAAAACTATGTAATTGAGATCTGCGGGAGAGTCCCTTCTCCGGGAACCCTCCATGAAAGAAATTAGGAGAGTAAGTACCCGGAGGAGGGCTTTCTCTGCGGTGGCGCCCAACCTATGGAATTCACTCCCCAAAGTGGTCCGCCTGGCACTGTCGTTACTGGTTTTTCGGCGCCAGGTAAAGACCTTTTTATTTAAACATCATTTCAATTGTTAAAACATATGATCTGGCCTGGGCAACTTCTTCTTCCTTCTCTTTCTCCTATATTTTTATTTTATACTGATAATTTTAATTTTGTATTTGTAAATCAATGTATTTTTTGTATTTTTATATTTAATGGTAATTTATTATGTACTATTGTATTTCAATGTATTTTATCATGTTGTAAGCTGCCCCGAGGTTTCGGCAAGGGGCGGCATAGAAATGTTATAATAATAATAAAAAAATAATAATAAAAAGCACTCCTTGTATAGTAGGAAGGTTAAGAATGTAGTGCAGTTAAGCTTAACTGCATTGGTGATTGGAAGTGTCAGTCCAAAGATGCTACTGTGCCTTAGCCTGCAACTTCCAGCACAACTTTGCTGATCTCCTGTTATGAGTAAGAATGGTTTCCAGTTGACAGTGGCAGTTTTTTATGGTCATTTATTACTAGCATAAGCATGTGGCTAGCAAGCTGTTCAGTGGGCTATTTACAGCCTTATTTACAAAGCATCTTTCAATCTTCTTTTAACACTTAAATGCTTACTATCCTTATCTAAAATAAGTTCCAGGTTGGAAGGTGAGGTATTATTCCTTGGAATATGGTAGGTTTGAATTATTCCTTTTCATTTACCAGCTATACATTCAGGAGAATCTGTGGTGTCTGTGAATTAAACTGAAAAACTTGTTAGCCATTGTAATGGTGTCACTTTATTTTTTATTTTTTATTTTTTTTTTTGTTTAGTAGCAACAGGTGGTTCTTAGTGAATACTACAGTTTTTCTTACTTTCAGTAGACAGCAGAATTGTAGATATTTACCATTAGATCATGTTTCCTCTGCTAACTAGGGTGCTTAGATGTCTCTGATTGCTATTTTGACACATAACTCACGAAGAATGGAGGCTTAAAATGCACTCTGTTATGCCCAATCAGTGGAATGCTTCATGATTATTTATTTTGCAAGGGGTCATGGATCTTAAGACTATGCTTAATTCAGCAAAATATTTGGAATGCCTTCATTGAAGTCTATTCATAATATTTTTAATAATGGTAGTATGTTCTGTTATATACTAATACATAGGAACATATATATGTAATTAGAGTTATGAAACTTTTTGAATTTTATTCAGAACTCTAATGTTTCAGTTTATTTTCCTCTGTTTTTCTTTTCTAGTGGTGCAGTTTGTATTTGTACTTGGTTTTTTATTGTACAATAAGAATAATAAGGATTTTCTTCACTTACTGTAATAAAGTTTGATGAATTATGCTGAGTATTAAAACAAAGTGAATACACTGATGCAGTAAAACACAATAGCAAACTTTACCTGTGAAGTGGATAAAAGGAATCCTATATGATACAATATAAATTGTTTAGGCAATTTTGGCATAGAAGTTGCCCAGTAATACAGTATTTTCCAATTTAAATGTAGCACTTATACATGCATGCATGTTTAAATCAGTGTTTAAAATCCTCAGCATTTTTTGAAATAAACAGTGAGTAATGTAAATTTGTGGCTGGCCTTGTCACTTCTAACATCTCCCTTTTCAAGATTTTATTTTACAATTATGAGGAAATCTAAACTTACTGAATTTTTCCATGTCGTAACTGCTAGAGAAGGAAAAAGAAAAACGTTGATACATTCAAGTTATATTTTTTAAACAGATTGGTAAGATAAAATATTGAATAAGAACTATTATTGAAAAGAAATGTTTCAGTTTACTTAGTTTTAATGCTTTCTTTGTCATGTTTCAACAGGGACCAGCTGCTTGCCAGGCACTGTCCCGTAATTTTCACTTCACGGTCTATGGAAAGAAAAATGTCTCTGCCAAAGTATCAGATTCAGTAAGTTCTTATTTGTATTTCACTTGTCTAGTTTCTTAATCCTGTTCTTGAGTGTTATCTCAGAAAAACAGTAAAAAAACCAATATTTAGTTATTGATATAAGAAACTAAGCCTGCGTTCACATGTTAGGTTCCCTGTTCTCTGAACTGTGGAAGATTCTGTGGGTATGTTCTCCATACAGATTTAGGCTCTCAAGACATGCAAAAAAATGCATTACTACAGTTTGCCAGTAGGACGTTGAAGGAGGTAAAGAGAGGATATAGCCAAAATTTTGAGTGAAAATAAAAAATTGGAATCTATGGTTTTCTTTAGTTGCATAGTTGAGACGCTCTTGCACTTGCCCTCTCTATAGTATTGTGCACACACCTTTTGAGAAGTAAGAAAAGAGTAACATACTCCTGTTGAGAAGCATCTTCTGAATGTCTTTAGGCTGCAATGCTACACACATCTGTGGGAGTAGTGCTTGTTAACTTCCAGGAGTCTTTTAAGTAGAGGCTGCACTGTTAGAGTCTAAAACTTCAAAGTCCTCCTCTCTGCTGGTACTGCCATTTCCACTCCGCAAGCCACACAGTAAATTCAAAACACTGCATGCAGCTTGTGAGCATCTGTTTGGCCACTCCTGGCCTAGACAGATGCTCTCTCAAAGTGCTCAAGTATAATTTGTTCCAATTTCATGGCTTTTGAGTATTGCAAATGAGAGAGATGTTTTTTCTTATGTCTCCTTGTTCAGATTTCAACACAATATCCTGTAGTGGACCATGAATTTGATGCAGTCGTTGTAGGTGCAGGTGGCGCAGGTTTGCGAGCGGCATTTGGCTTGTCTGAGGCTGGGTTTAATACAGCATGTATTTCAAAACTGTTCCCCACGCGATCCCATACTGTTGCTGCTCAGGTGAGAAGCCTGTATTTCATAGTTGGGGAAAGGGAGCTGGGAAAGCTGCAAACTAATGGGAGTTGGATGTTGTGTACTGATGCTGTATTGAAACAGTGCTAATGTCTGTTACATGTGAGCATAAACAGATCTTGTTTAAATCAGCAACATATCAGATACAACAATTAGATTTATGTATCTGATATGATCATGTGATAACAGTAGTTCATCAGCTGCACTGCCTTCTGTTTTCATGCCCAATTCAAAGTGATGAGGTTGACCTTGAACAGCTTACAAACTGAAGTTTAGTATCCTGGTTTGTTCTAAAGCTGATAAAGGCAGGTTGCTTACCTGTAACTGTCGTTCTTTGAGTGGCCATCTGTGCATCACATATTATGGGTGCTGCGCCTGCGCAGTGCCTGCAGCCGGGAAAGATTCAAAGCTTTAATGGTTTTGGCGGGAACTCCACGCCCCTCCCCCCATAGTATAAAGAGCAGAGTGCCTGCCATTTCCCCAGTCTGCTGAAAACCATCCGTTCGCGCCCAGGTGGAATCAGTGAACAAATAAATTCACAGTAAATGGCAGATCCAATAGGGATGCTCAAGTAAAGAGCATAAGAGGGTTATACCTATACTATATAGAGGGTTATAAGAGGGTATACCTATACTATATAGGTAGAACCAATGTGGAAGGAAAAGGGAAAAGGGTAATTTCCATTAACCCAGTCACCGACACCGAGTGGGGCCGGCAGGTGGGTTGTCTGAATGCACAGATGGCCACTCGAAGAACAACAGTTACAGGTAAGCAACCTGCCTTTCTTCATTGTGGCCTCTGTGCATCACACATTATGGGTGATTAGTAAGCTTACCAGACCTGGAAGTGGGATGGTGTCATCACTGAATAACTGAGGAGAGAACTGCACGGCCAAAAGAGCAGTCCTCTCTGGCGCGAACATCTAGCCAATAGTGTTTGGTAAATGTGCAAGGGGTAGTCCAGGTAGCTGCCTTGCAAATGACATGCAACAGAATGCTGGCAGAAAAGGCAGAAGAAGCCACAACAGCACTTGTGGAATGACCTTTAGGCATCACCAGTAAGTCCAATTTGGATAGGCGGTCGGAGAATTCAGTAGTTTGAACAATCCTCTTAGAGAGTCTCTGAGAGGTAATCGGAAAGCCCTTGTCGTGTTTAGAATATTTAACTAAGAGGCGTTTAGTCTTTCTGAAAGATTCAGTCCAGGATCACTAGAACACCAAAGAGTGTCGAACATCGAATGACTGTAGAAGAATGTTCTTTTGGCATCAAAGGCATAGGAAAGAATGTCGGCAAGATGATATCTGGATTGATGTGGAAGGGTGAGGTGACCCTAGGGAGGAAAGCCAGGTTGGTATGGAGAACAACTTTTTCCTACTGAAAGTTGAGATAAGGAGGGTCAATTTGTAGAGCACAGAGTTCACTAGCCCTCCTGGCTGAGGTAATGGCTATAAGAAAAGCCATTTTCCAGGATAAGACACGTAAGTCAGTAGTGGCTAGCGGTTCGAATGGCTTGGTATGTGCTTGGAGAACCAATGAAAGCCTCCACGTCGGTACCACTGAGCAGACTGGTGGTTGGAGGTTCTGTAGTCCTTTCAAGACGCAATGAATGAGAAAATGTGAAAACACCGAGGATCCCGATATGGAGCCGCAATGATGAGAAATAGCAGTGATGTAAACATTAATAAAAGGAGACTTACGTCCATTTTGGTGTAGAGATAGGAGAAATTGTAAGATGTTCTCAATTGAGGCTGAATGAGGAGTAAAATGATTGGCTGATGCAAAAGAGGCAAAGCGTTTCCATTTAGCTTCGTATGAGTAGCTGGTCTTAGAGCAGACTGAAGAATAAACTGTATGTCAGGATGGAAAGTGCTTGGGTTCGACGAAGAGCTGGGAACCGATGTCGAAACTGATGGTGCCGCCATGGCAGAGGGCTGCAGAGGAGGTGTCGAATCCTACAGAGTTGTCGGTACTGATGAGGCAGCATTAGTTATTGGATGAGCCAGGCCATAAGGTTCAGAGAGTGTAGATCTGGATGTTGAATAGCACCGCTTTGTTGGGTGAGAAGATGTGGAATCTGCAGAAGAAGAAAGTTTCTGGAGAGGCACAGAATGATGGGAAACCATGGTTGACGGGGCCACCAAGGTGTGATGAGACTCCCTCAGGTGTCCTGATTGATCTTGGCTAGAAATTTTATGATGAGAGGTATTGGAGGAAACGCATAAAAGAACATGTTTGTCCAGGGAACCATCAGTGCATCTCACATCAAGTTTGGACCAATGCCCACCTGAGAGCAATAAGTTGTGCAGCTCGAGTTGCTGTGGGTGACAAGCAGATCTATGTCCGGAGGGCCCCAGAGTTGGAAGAGATGTCGGCAGGCTTGGCGATTTAACTCCCACTCGTGAGTTGTCAACATGTGCTTGCTGAGAGCATCTGCTTCCTCGTCGGTTCCGGCAAGGTGAATGGTGAGAGGGGTGATCCCTCTGGGAATACACCAGTCCCCTAGATGGAGCGCAAGGTAAGCCAGAGGAGCAACAGGCCCTGCTTGTTGATGTAGAACACTGTAACTACATTGTCCGAAGCTATCTGAACGACTCGGTCCCGAAGGATAGTCTTGAAGGACTAGAGGGCTTTGAAGACCGCTAGAAGTTACAGACAATTGATATGTCTGGAGGTCTCATGTCCCTGCCAAGTGCCCTGAGTGCAAAGATCAGTGCAGTGTGCTCCCCATCCCGTAAGGGAAGCATCAGTGTAGAGTGTCAAAGCTGTCTGGGGCTGTCGAAACGGGACCCCAATGGAGAGGTTGCTCTCTACTTTCCAGCATGACAAAGTCTGGAGAATGGAGGCAGGCGGATGAGGAGGAGGGTTGCATTGGGGGTGGAAGAGAGGGTTGAACCATAGTTGTAATTGTCTCATCCACAATCTGGCATTGGGAACCACAGAGACTGTGGAGGTCATGTGGCCCAGCAGTTTCTGTATGGAAAGCGTAGATAACAGTCCGGTTTGTGGAGATCTGATGAATGGAGGAATGCAACTTGTCCTTTCAAGCCTATGGAAGGAAGGCTCAGGTGTGAAGTGAGTCAAGGCAAGCTCCGATTGATGACCTGCAAAGGAATGAGGCAAGATTTCTCAACATTAATACAGAGTCCAAGTTTGTTTAAAAGGGTTCATATAGTATCGATGGCTAATAGGAGGTCATGTCTCGAAGAAGAGACAAGCAGCCAATCATCAAGGTAAAGGTAAACATGAATGCCTTGTAGCCTCACGTGGGCGCAAACAGGAGCCATACATTTGGTGAAGACCCTTGGAGCGGTCACGAGGCCGAAGGAAAGAACATTGTATTAAAAAATGTCGGTACCAGCAGTGAACCGGAGTAGCCGCCTATGAGTAGAGTGGATACTGATATGAAAATAAGCATCTTTCAGGTCCAGAGATGTGAACCAATCCTCTCTCCTGAGCAACGGAAGGATGTTCTGAAGGGTGGTCATTCAAAATTTTTTAGTCTTGATGAACTTACTGATGCCACGTAAGTCCAATAGCGGGCACAGACCACCATCCCATTTCGGGACCATAAAATATCTCGATTAGAAGCTGTGGAGCCCCTCGGAGTGGGTGAGCTGTCGAATCACTCCTTTACGAAGTAATTGGGAAACTTTGTCTTGAAGGACCGGAGAAGGAGACATACATCGGATTGGTCCCGATGGGGGCATGGTGTCAAATTCGATTTTATATCCGTGCTACACGATGGAAAGTACCCACTTATCAGATGTGATGGACTCCGGAATGGGGAGTTGGCCTTGCAGCCAATCCCCAAAAGGAAGAGGGGAAGGTGGGTAGTTGGAGAGTGGAAAGATTTGCGCATCCCATCAATGTTGATGCTTGTTAGAGTCAGGGTGGCAACGGGTCTGCTGATAATGAGGCGCTGGTTGCTTGCGGTTCCACTGCTGGTGAGGCTGGAACTGTTGACGGGAGGCGTATTGATGATAAGGCTGGTATCTGTACCGAGAGTGAGATGGTGGCCACTTACATTGGCTCTGGGCAGGAATCTCCATCCGGTGAGTGGTGATATTCTCCAACTTATGGTTGGTTTGCGCGTTGAAGATTCTGGAACTGTCGTATGGCATACTCTCAATGCGCCTCTTAGTCTCATCTGGGAAGTTGCAGGGACAGAGCCAAGCATGCCGATGCAAAGTGATGGAACCGACTAGAGATCACGAGTTGCAATCAACATGATGTCTTGCCGTACTCAATTGTTGAATAGCCAGCTGCATGGCTTCACAGATGAATACATGGGCCAGGTCCCACTGTTGCTGTGCTGTGATGGACTCAAGACTCAAGCTTTTGCATAAGAAAATATTGGTATCTGGCCATTGTCACTTCGTAATTTGAAATTTGCAGGCCAAGTCCCATGGCAGCATAAATATGGCGAAACATCAAGTCGATCTTGCATCCCTCCTTGTCTCTGGGAGTGGAGTGCTCCCTATTCTCCCAACCCTGGAAAGACTCGACAACAGTAGAGTTGGGATTTGGGCTTGATTCATAGCACCGAGAGGTTGGGTGTGGCTAGTTTGGAAGATGGCTGAAGACTGCTCCTTGCGGACATTGTCATAAAAATTGTCCATGCTGGGATCAACACGATGTTGAACCTCGATCTCCAGGGAACTAGCTAGTTGTGCCATCAATTCTCTGAAGGTGGAATAGGACTCCTCCAGAGAACCAGGACCCTGAGTGGAGATGATGGCATCAGGCGAGGTGGAAGCCTTCTCCGAGTCCTCCGAATCAGAGTTGTACTGATACGGGGGACTGGAGTACAAACCACCTGGAGAAGGAGGAGGTTGGAAAGAGAACAGCCGCCAATGTCGAGGGGACGTCTCTCGGCATAGGATGAGGAGTGGTACGATGGTGGTGCAGGGAGGGCATTGAGTAGTACCCGTATGGTGGAAGATAATCCCATGGGTAGGACTGGGATGGATCAAATTCACCCTAGGGCATCGGTACCCAGCTCCTTGAGGGCTGACTTGAAACTCGCTGATGGCGGCGCGTGTCGGATTGAGGCTGGGCCCTTGGAGAAGCCTCAGGCGAAGTCGGCATCGGGGTTGGAGAACATGCCGATGGTTGTCCAGTTTGGGCTTGTGGGGGGCAAGTCCTGGATCTCGCCATCCGACATGGACCCACGAACCGTGGCCTCAGAGCAGTCCAGAGTGGATGGAGTTGATGGAAATCCTCTGAGAAGATCCTGGCGGGGTCACTTGCATCATGGACTGGATGTTCAGACTGAACGGAGTCGGGATCGAGACAGCAGTCGAGACCAATGGCACGGTCGAACCTGAGTCTCTCCATGGTGGCTTAGCAAGCTTCTTCAGCTTGCGGTCTGATTTGTCCATCTTAGTGTTCTTGGCCTTCTTAGGAGCCAAGGGCTCATCAGATTCAGCGTGCTTCCTCTTCTTCTGCTTTTGGGAGGAGAACGAGAGGAGCGAGTAGCCTCCATAGAAGTCGTACCATCAGCCGATGGATGTGGAGGAGAATCTACAGACGGGCCTACTGGCACGGTCTGAGCCGCAAGCTGGTAAGATGCAAGCAAGGCCTGGTCCCAAAGAATCTCCCAGAGACGATTCTCACAGTTCTTGTGGGCCTGCTTCGTGGAGGATTGGCAGTGGCCACATTTGTCAATCCTGTGTCCTTCCCCCAAGCAAAGAAGGCACAGGTCATATGGATCCATGGGGGACATCTTAGCCCCACACTTGGAGCACTTATGAAAGGCTGCTCACTGAGCCATCAAGGAGGAAAAGAAGATAGTGAAGCCAGAAAAAAGTAGAATAACGATGGAAGGGGTTTTTTTTTTGTTTTTTGGGGGGAGGGGGGAGAAACTTTCTAAAACTAGGCAGGGGATAAGATAGTTTTAACTTGGAAGGGAGATCTTAACAGGATAGAAATAGCAACAAATAGAAGTTTTATCCAGAACAGCAAGTATAGCTATCGAGAGAACGAAAGGCTCAAGGCAAAAGGAACGGCAGTCACAAGAAGACTGGTGAAAGTGTGGGCATTCTGCTCTTTATACTATGGGGAGGTGGGAGTTCCCACCAAAACCATTAAAGCTTTGAATCTTTCCCTGCTGCAGGCACTACACAGGCACAGCACCCATAATGTGTGATACACAGAGGCCACAACGAAGAACTATAGTTTACGGGTTTGGATGGAATGAGAAACTGTGGCTAATTGGAGATTTCCGCATTGCATTCAAGTGTCTGTGTGGGCATAAAGTTCATAATCTGGGGCTATTATAAGCTGAATAACTTCACACCATCTGAATGTGGCCCCTGCAAAGTGTCACCAGTTGCAAATTGAAATGGGTAACAGTATAAAACATATGAAGGTCACTTGCCTCTCTGTCTGGCAGCCATAAGATTACAGTACTAGTTTAGATTTTACTTTAATAGCTGCTAGGGGAGGGGTTCCCCGCCTGGGGTGCCTGCACCCCAAGGGAGTGTGAGGTGACATTGCAGGGGATTCAACAAAGAGGTAGGCAGCATCATGATTTGCCAAAATTGGTGAATTGCGATGTTTTCTGCAAAAAAAAAAAAAAAAAAAAACCACCAATAATATTAATATTATTATTATTATTATTATTTGCATTTGGATTCTGTTCTTTTTTCTCAGTCAAGACAAAATCTAGGGATTGCCTGAATCCACAGGCAAACTTGCAGATCACAGTCAGCGGGAAAGTAGGAACCTCTGTAGGAAATGGGTACTGGGGCAAATAGACAAAAGGGTGTACCGGGAGGAGGAGGCCCATTGCAGAAGGATTCTTCGCAAGGCTAAGGCTGATTACGAGCCGAGACTTGCCAAGAGTATCAAGAGCAACAAAAAGGGCTTCTTTCAGCATGGAAATAGGAAGAGGAAGTAGAGACAAGTGGTGGGACCACTAAATAAGGAGGAAGGAGATCCAGTGACTGATATGAGGGAACAGGCACAGATGCTAAATGACTGTTTTGCCTCTGTGTTCTCCCCAAAGCAGGACGGGAAATATCCGCATAGGAGATTAGATGAGGCTGGGGACTTAGGGGCACAGATTAGAGTTACCCCTCATGAAGTCGAGGGGCTCCTCAGGGCAGTGGACATTACAAAGGCGCCAGGCCCTGACGGGTTACGCCCAAGAGTACTTAGAGAATTGGCAGGGGTTCTGTCACGCCCGCTGGCCTCCATTTTTGAGGCCTTGTGGAGAACGGGTGAAGTTCCAGAGGACTGGAGGGTGACATCAGTGGTCCCAATTTTCAAAAATGGTAGTAGAAGGGACATGGGGAATTACAGACCAGTTAGTCTTACGTCCATTGTAGGAAAAACAATAGAAAGGCTCATAATAGCCAGAGATCTAGTGATGCTAGATAGGGTAGGGAAGCTGTCAGCCACACAACATGGCTTCCGCAAAAACAGGTCCTGCCAGACAAACCTTGTGGAATTCTATGACAAGGTTTCGAGATGGCTAGATGGAGGGGATGCAGTGGATGTGGTTTACCTGGATTTCAGCAAGGCCTTTGACAAAGTGCCCCATGATATCCTGGTGGAGAAACTGAGGAGTTTTGGGATACACCAAAAAACTGTCCAGTGGATTAGGGCATGGTTGACTGACCGAAAGCAGAGGGTAACCATTAGTGGGGAATCATCGGGATGGCGGCCAGTGACAAGTGGGGTACCCCAGGGCTCTGTCCTGGGGCCGATCCTGGTTAATCTTTTCATCAATGACATGGAAGAAGGGGTGAACAGTCTGCTGATCAAATTCGCAGATGACACTAAAACTGGAGCAGTGGCCACAACTGAGGAGCAGGTACTCCAGATCCAAAAGGATCAGGACAGACTATGGAAGTGGGCAGGAGACAACAGGATGGCGTTCAATGTGGATAAGTGCAAGGTCTTGCACTTGGGGCTTGGGAATGGGTGTCATAAGTAAAGGTTAGGGGACAAGTGGCTGGAGAGCAGCACTTGTGAAAGGGACCTCGGGGTGCTGGTTGACTGCAGGCTAGAGTCAGCAGTGTGATACGGTGGTCAAGAGGGCGAATGCCACCCTTGGTTGCATAGCTAGAAGTGTGGCTTCTAGATCAAGAGAGGTATTACTACCACTCTATATGACACTGGAGCACCCGCAACTGGAGTATTGTGCTCAGTTTTGGGCCCCTCATTACAGAAAGGATATAGTCAGGTTAGAGTCAGTGTAGCGTAGGGCCACAAGGTTGGTGGCCGGTTTGCAGGGGATGGGGTATGAGGCGAGACTGAGGGAACTGGTTCTCTTCAGCCTGAAGAAGAGGAGACTCAGAGGGGATCTGTTGGCCACATACAGGTATGTGAGGGGATGTCACATGGAGATGGGTAGAGAGCTGTTCTCCCCTGCAGAGGAAGGCGGGACGCGCTCCACTGGAGCAAAGCTCAGGGAACCAAGGTTCCATTTGGATGCCAGGAAGCACTTCCTGACAGTCAGGACCCCGAGGGTGTGGAATGGCTTCCAGGAGAGGTCATTGAGACCCCATTGGTGTGGGTGTTCAAGGATAGGCTGGATGTGCACATGGTGGGCATGTCGTGAGTGGAGCCAGCTGGTGCCAGAGGTCAGACTAGGTGGCCCGGGAGGCCCCTTCTGACTCGCTGTGTTTCTATGTGAAGCAGGAACAGAGAAGTCATTGGATTTTATGTTCACAACTGGGATTGATTTTACTATTTACAATATTTTCTAATTGCTCAATTTATATTTGAATTTTATGCACTGGGTTAAACACTGATTTTTTTTAGTTCAGTTTGTTCACCCACAGTATTGTATGTGGTTCACTTCGTGGTTCAAAAATTAGAAATTTGACTTCTTTGTCTTCAAATACAGAAACACAGAAACAGCGCGAATCACAAGGGGTCTCTCGGGCCATCTAGTCTGACCCCCGGCTCCAGCTGGCTCTGCTCATGACATGCCCAGCATGTGCATATGATATTACTTTTGTGGGGGGTGCAAACATAAATCAAACATGTTCTGTTGGTGCAGAGTATAAGTTTCTAACAGTGTGGAGAAAAAGCTGGGAACACTTTCTAGAGGTGCAGAAAAACGGTTGGGAACCAGTGTGCTAGGAGAATGATGTGGCTAATGCTTCCTGCTTAATTTGTTACCTGGGAGGGAACTTTCTGAGACTACAGTTTACAGTTAATATTTTGTATAGTGGAGCATTTATTCATGTGAACTCCCTCTGCAGTCTGAAGTAATACAGCCTAGAAACAGTTTGGTAAGAACTAGGCTTCATGAATATTTCTTTTAAAATAAACCCACATTCAGATATTCCATGCCTGTAGAGGAGACTTTGAAAATATTACAGAAATGGAATGTAACTAAAATAAGCACAAATAGGTGAGGGTGATCACATAAACATGTTTACTTAGAAATAAATCTTCTTGGTTTTAATATGAAAGGTTTCTATCTGCAGTAACACTGACCATGTCAATGAAATGACCTGTAAATTATATAAATTACATGCTGCAAAAATATTCATTTTAGATGACCTGTTGGAAATACAGTGGAAATACAGAGGAACTAATTGCTAAACATGGAATGTGAAGAAAGAAATATGTTTGTTTACTTTCTAGGGGGGGATCAATGCTGCTTTGGGGAATATGGAAGAGGATAACTGGAGATGGCATTTCTATGATACTGTGAAAGGCTCTGACTGGCTGGGAGACCAGGATGCAATTCATTACATGACAGAGCAAGCACCTGCTTCAGTTATTGAGGTATCAATAGTAATTTATTACATGTGATTTTCTGGGAGAAAAAAATCCATGCTTGATTGTTAAACTTTTTGGGCTATGTTGTCTTAATAAGGGAAATTAGTTTCCTTAATTTTCATCAAAATGGGGAGAAATGATAAAGTTTTCATTGTTAGAAAAGACCCTTTTTATGCTCTTCACATTTTGTAAATTAACAGAACTAATTTGCTACAAAGCGAGGTTAGGCATAGTAGCTTCTGCACAAAATTTTCAGTGGTACCTTGGCTCATGAACTTAATCTGTTCCAGGACTCTGGTCTTGACCCAAATTGGTCGTGAGCCAAGTCAAATTTCCCCATAAGGGTCAATGTAAATAAGGTTAATCTGTTCTGCAACTGTTTTTTTACTCACAAAAGTTTGAAGCAAAGTGACAAAGAACAACAAAGATCGCGGCCATCCCCCCCCCCCCCGTGAACATGTGGGGGGGTGGGGGGAGATGGGTGCGATTGTGGGCACGCTGCGGGGGAGGCAGCCGCAGGCAACTCAGGCAGGGAACACGGGCGCAATCATGGCCATCTCGCCCCCCGCCCCCAGCACAACTGCGATCTGTGCAGGGAAGGCGGGCACGCTCATAGTCATCACCCGATGCAGAGTTTGTGATCTGTGGCAAAATTCTTATGAAATTTATGTTTGTGACCTGATTTGGTCGTGAACTGAGGCATTCGTGAGCCAAGGTACCACTGTACTTTATTGTACAGAATGCGATGCTCTAGAGGACTGTAGTATGCATTACACCAGATCAATGCTAGGACTGCTATGCCTTGCAGAGATATCTTGGACCTCAGCAGAATTGTCTCAGAATGGGTGGAGGTAGTAGAACCAAACATCATTTGCTGTTTGTTTCTGAAAGTAGGTTGGATGGTAGAAATACCTTTTAACTGATGCAGGTCTTCTGCTTGGACTTAGCTAATCTCGCCCAAACTGTGCAAACCCTCGTAATAGCTAGTTATGGTAAACCAGATGTTACACAGGGCAAAACTTGCTTTGCCTGTGATAGCTTATCTTTGAGGGTTCCTTTCTCAAAGGAAACGATTCTAGGGTTAACAGTTGTCACCCAGTAATTTCCCTTGTTTTCATGTTTATAGTGAAAATATTAATAAACTCTGCTTCGATTTCTCAGCTGGAAAATTATGGAATGCCATTTAGCAGGACAGAAGATGGGAAGATCTACCAGCGTGCTTTTGGGGGACAGAGCCTTAAGTTTGGGAAAGGGGGACAGGCTCATCGATGCTGCTGTGTGGCTGACAGGACAGGCCACTCTCTGCTGCACACGCTCTACGGCAGGGTAAGAAGTCCTGAGGCTCACTGAATTCATGTGCAAAAGAATTACTTTGAAGGCCAATAGTTGTGTTGCTAGTATATTAGCAACTGAGCTGTGAAGGCCTCTCCTGGCAGCTCTGTGTGTCTTTCAAGTTTAGTCAGGCAAATGGGGGACTTGTATAGAATGACAGACCTTTTCATGCAGAAACACTCATGAATGACACTGCAGAATACACATCTTTACCTGGACTTTACTTGTTCACTGACAAACTGGTTTTTCTTTTTTATTTAACTGCTTTCTTTTTTTGTCAAATAGCACCCAGTGGGGGTGCAGAGTAAAAATAAATAGATAAACAAAAAACCCAAGCAGCAAAATATATAAAATATCCATAAAGCCATGAAAATAGTTTTTTGACATTGATCTAGTGGTTTCTTCAAGGTTTCCAGCAAGAGGTCTCCCCAACATCAGCTTCCTGACCATTTAATAGGGTTGCCAGAGGTTGAACATGAGACTTTCCTCCTACAAGCATGTGGTCTGGCACTGAGCTCTCCCCTTCCCCATAGGCAGGGACTGGCCCTGGCTCTCAAGGCTGAGTGGGAGCAATCCACTCACAGGCTAAGCTCCTGGCAGTAAGGCTTCCCTACCTGCTTTTATTTTCCATAGGATTAGGAGTAGCATTATCATATTATTAAGAGGCAAGCTGTTCTTATTGCTCTGAAAGTCACTACCAGCACATGCATTGAAACTGTAGTGTCTGTTGGTTTGATGGCAATAAAATATACATGTACTAGTGGCACACTCAAACACCCCCTAAAAAAGGTTTTTCATATACAGTGCAGAATTTTATATATGATGTAATCTCTCTAACCTCTCTAAAAATTTAGTTCTAAACCAAAAAATATACACGGTTTACTCAGTTCAGCTTTTCCTAGAATATGATTATGATGTTTTATATTTTCTAACAATACTGGAAGGAAAATTAAATAGACAGATTCTGTACAAAGATCAAATTAATAAACCCCTTTTGGAGGCATTCAGTATAATAAAACACTTCATGCCATAATGTTAACATTGCTCTGTATATCTTATAAGTAGAAATCATTTTTTTTCCTCCTCTCCCTCTAGTCTCTCAGATACGACACCAGTTATTTTGTGGAATATTTTGCCCTTGACCTCCTGATGGAAAATGGAGTATGTTGTGGTGTTATTGCACTATGTATAGAAGATGGCACTGTACATCGTTTAAGAGCAAAGAATACAGTTATTGCTACTGGGTAACGTGCAAATAATTGTATTGAAATGTGAATGTAATGCTTATTCTGGGCTCAGACTAGAGAGGAGTTACTGCACTAATCCAACAACTTCTGATACAGTCTAGCCCAGCCCTCTTCAAGGTTCTCCTTGGTGGCCAAATTGTTCCCACCCAGCCCTCTTGGGAATTCTCCCATATTTTCCCCCTGATGTTTTAAATCCTAATTTGTGCTTTTCCCATTAACTAAGGGGTACAGAACCTCCAGCCCAGGGGCCAAATCCAGCCATATGGGAATTCCAAATTTAGGATCAGCCTTCTGGGAGTCTCCCAAAAGCTCTTCCCTTCTGCCAACCATTGATCATATGGTGGTTTTCCCATTTTTGTGCAGTTTTTATTTTTTCATTTTGCAGTGTTCACATGTCTTTTTCAAGGCTTAGGTCCTTACAATAAGGGCCTTAATCTATAGAATGTTGATATTTGGGAGGCTTTGGCACTGCCCCTTCAGCTATAACTGATGGAATTTGACTTTGGGCTAAAGAAGTTCAGCAGTCCTTGACTTCTTCCAGTTGAGCCTGAGAGCCAAATTTTATTTCATTCCAGCAAAAGTGTGGTTCCAACACTTTTGTGGAAAAATGAAAAGAAATGCAGGAATAGGGGCCATTTTATTTGTTTGTTTGTTTATTTAAAGTATTTATATGCCATCCTGTCGCAAAAGCCTCAGGATGACTCACATAGATAAAATACAATAAAATATAAATATAAGGATGATAAAAGGCAGAATTTTATTTTAGGCACATTTTACATGGTAAAATTAGAGAACTGGATTCAGAGTAAGTCATACTTTGAATAAAGCTATTGAAATCCTTGGAATTTAGATCAGTTATGGCTAATTGAAGTCCTGCTGGTTTCAAGTGGGCCTACTCTAAGTATGAGTAAGTTTGGATTCAAGCTGGAATTTTTAAATTGTTTTACCTTTTTAACCTAAAAGCTCCCCAAAGACAAACTCTTACAAAACAAGAAACACTACTTTTTCTAGCTTGCTTTTGTCTGGGTTTCCTTCACTGAGGAGAAACATGAATCGGGGCACACTGTGTTTACCTTGTAACATATAGATGATTTACTCCTCTGCTTAGCTGAATAGTCAGACCCTGCAGCTGTATTGGACATGAGCTGTCTTATCCCCTACAGACTCTCCCAGTACGTTTTACTCTTTAGATTCCCTGCAGGGAAATGGGAATGGAATGGGTGAGCTGATAACTCAGGCGTTTAGTGTGGCTTTGGGATTGTTGAGTTACCTATGCTTTATGTTCAGCAGTAAATGAACCCCATGGAAACCCACTACTAAATAATGTAAATGTGATTCAGAACTAGTATGTATGTGTGTGGGAGATACTTTGTTACCTGATCATGTTGCATAGATTGGGGCTGTTGTTTTTCATGAAAACTTCACTCTTCTGCTTTGCAAGTAGAAAATGTATTGAATTATACTATCTATGAACCACTTCCTAGAGGGTATGGCCGCACATACTTCAGCTGTACATCTGCTCACACATGCACTGGTGATGGCACAGCAATGATCACGCGGGCAGGTCTACCTTGTCAGGATTTGGAATTTGTGCAGTTCCATCCCACAGGTAAAAGTTCTCTTCTACTCTAAAAATCACTAAGGTTTGATGTGAAACCTTTTTAGTTAGTTTTTGTATTGAAAACTCTTTGGGAGAAGCATGTAACCATAGTAAAGTAACTGGGTTGTTCAGTATATTCTGTTAGAACAAATATTCAGGTAGGTGCGCTTAGGATTACAGTCTTAAAGTTAGGCAAGCAGGGTTTCGAAGAGGCAGAGGAACTAGAGATCAAATTGCCAACATACGCTGGATCATGGAAAAAGCTAGGGAGTTCCAGAAAAACATCTACTTCTGCTTCATTGACTATGCTAAAGCCTTTGATTGTGTGGATCACAACAAATTGTGGCAAGTTCTTAAAGAGATGGGAGTACCAGACCATCTTATTTGTCTCTTGACAAACCAATATCCGGGGCAAGAAGCAACAGTGAGAACTGGGCATGGAACCACTGATTGGTTCAAAATTGAGAAGGGAGTTTGGCAAGGCTGTATACTGTCGCCCTGCCTATTTAACTTATATGCAAAGCACATCATGAAAAAGGCAGGGCTTGATGAATCACAAGTTGGAATTAAGATTGCTGGGAGAAATATCAACCAACTCAGATATGCAGATGATACCACTCTAATGGCAGGAAGTGAAGAGGAACTAAAGAGCCTCTTGATGCAGGTGAAGGAGAGCGCAAAAGTTGGCTTGAAACTCAGCATTAAGAAAACTAAGATCATGGCATCTGATCCTCTCACTTCCTGGCAAATAGATGGGGAAGAAATGGAGGTAGTGACAGATTTTATTTTCCTGGGCTCCAAGATCACCGCAGGTGGGGACTGCAGCCATGAAATTAAAAGATACTTGCTCCTTGGGAGGAAAGCTATGGCAAATCTAGACAACATACTAGAAAGCAGAGACATCACCCTGCCAACAAAAGTGCGTATACTCAAGGCTATGGTTTTCCCAGTTGCAATGTATGGTTGTGAAAGTTGGACCATAAGGAAGGCTGAGCGCCGAAGAATTGAGGCCTTTGAATTGTGGGGCTGGAGGAGACTCCTGCAAGTCCCTTGGACTGCAAGATCAACCCAGTCAGTCTTAGAGGAGATCAACCCTGACTGCTCTTTACTCATAGAAGGCCTGATACTGAAGATGAAACTCAAATACTTTGGCCACCGAATGGGAAGGAAGGACTCAATGGAAAAGAGCCTAATGCTGGGAACAATTGAGGGCAAAAAAAGAAGGGGATGGCAGAGGATGAGGTGCCTAGATGGAGTCACTGAAGCAGTCGGCATGAGCTTAAGTGGACTCCGGGGGATGGTGGAGGACAGGAAGCCTGGAGGAGTGTTGTCCATGGGGTCGCGATGGGTCGGACACTACTTCGCAACTAACAACAAGCATATGCATATTGTTCATTTGTATTTTTTTCAATTGTGTTTTCCTAGTATAGTATTTCAAGGTGGACACAGGAAAATAAGTTTTATCCTGATATGCTAAGAAAGCTTTTCTTGTACTTTTGATAACTGAGGTGCTTTTCTTTTGTGTTCCACTCTTGTTCAGAAAAGCATTTTAAAGAATAAAAACAATGATTAAAAGATCTTGTGTGTGCAAAGTACTCAGAGGCTGCTTACAGGTCATCTTTCACGATTCATTGCTGTGACTTGAGTTATTTCACACTGGTCTCCACTGAATTTATCCTGTTGCATCTGGCATGTTTCATACAAAATTACAGGAAAATTATCTATCCCCTTTGGAAAGAAAAATCCCATGCCATTTTCTACATGAGCCTATTACCTAAGAATACCTTATGTTTTGGAAGGAAGCACACCTCAGCTCAGTTGTGCAGCATATAGTGAGTAGTTCCCTCTGTATTTTGGTCTCTGGGTTCCTCCAAATGTTTTCTGTGTGGCACACAGGGAGTTACTGACTTAAGGAATGATTCAGCAACCAGAAGCTGTAAATGTTATTAGTGCCATATCTGTGAAACATGGATAATAAAGGCTCATTGGAAAACTAGATGAGAAATGTTTACCAGAAAGTGCAGGTGGTGGTTGTCCTGAAAGCTTGTGTAGATACTGTGTGCATGCACAAGTAAGAAGGAGGCTTGGGGATATGGTCAAAGAGATTAGTTGCATCTCTCAAGATTGGCACGCCTAGTTTTGCTAGTATCTCATTGCCCTTCTGTAAGTGAAGGTGCTATCAGAGAGATGACAGCCATTATCTGCTGCAGTGGAGTCCCAAAGCACCTGAAAGACTGACAAACATTTATTTACTGAATAAATTTTTATTGTTTTGTAAGCATTTGAGGGCTACTGCTCACTTTCTCAGATGCCTGAAATGGTCTCTTAAGTTGGTGGTTGTGTATTTGGAGAAGAGGAAGCTGGGGAACTTAGGACTGAATGATTGTGCACAGGGCAATGCCCATTTTTTGTGCAGAGTCCAAATGTAGCAAGGTGAAATCTATATAAAAGAGGAGGCATGCCCAGATAAGCAGTCTGCTTTCCAAAACAATCACTGGTGGAGTATAGGAATAACATGTAATGAGGGACAATTGTTTGAGATAGCATAATGAGAGTGCCACCCTACTTCCTAAGTGCTGGAGCCTTCCACTGAAGTACATCGACTTTAGGATTAATAGCATAATATTCTAAGAGACTGTAATGCTCTTTTCCTTGTTCTGCTTCTTTCTCTGGGAAGCAATGAAATACCATTGACCCCAGGTTACATTCCATTAAAGTAAAGAATGAAAATACCTTCCATAGATAGATAGAAAAAATGCTCCCATTTTTGTGGTGTAGTGGTTAAGAGTGTGGACTGGGATTCAGGCAATTTAGGTTCTAGCTCCTACTTGATGGAGCTCACTGGGTGACTTTGCACCAGTCACAGACTCTCGACCCAACCTACCTCACAGGGTTGTTGTGACAGTAAAATTGAGAGGAGGAAGAGAATCATGTAAGCTGCCTTGAACTCCTTGAAAGGAGAAAAGACAGGATATAAATAAATAAATATATTTTAATGGAAGGAAAGTCATTTTTTGTATTGATATCCTGCTTTAGGTGTTTAAAACATTTTACATATTTTCTCAATAGTCCATATACGAGCCCTGAAACCATACATAAGAGTTGTTGTCTTTATATTGTTGATGTGGGAATGAGAGATTGGTGCCTTGCCTAAGGTAACAGGCAGGCCAAGATTTGAAGCCAAGTTTTTCATTTTGTTAATTAATGTAGTATACCAAAGTAGTCATTGTAAAAAGTATAACAAGATGACTTCCTGTCTTTCAGGGATCTATGGAGCTGGCTGCCTTATTACAGAAGGTTGTCGTGGTGAAGGAGGCATTCTAATTAACAGTGAAGGGGAAAGGTTTATGGAGAGATATGCACCAGTTGCCAAAGATCTAGCTTCAAGAGATGTTGTGTCTCGTTCTATGACTATTGAGATCCGTGAAGGAAGGCAAGTTACTCATAATTGTCTAATCTATTATTAAGATTATGAATACAATTTTAATTATAGAAATTGTAGAATTAGAAATTTGTTGAACTTGACCAAAGCAGTACATCTGAAAGAATAACATGATTTCTCTGAAAATAGTTTTAAACAGGGCTGTTTCACACACTGCCTTGTCTGCTATGTTCAGTTGGATGTGGAAGCAAGTCTCTAGTCAGGGATGGGGAGCATGTAGCCCACCAGATGTGGTTGGATTGCAACTCATTCCCCACCTCTGCTGTAACTACTCAAGTTGTGCGATCAGGCATATACCAAATGTGAACTCTGGGTAGCACCATCTGTCCCCCACCAAATACACAGTCCAGACTGGCTTCTGCATCTTAGACCCTTTTTGTAAGAAATTAGATGCTAGTACTTAAGCTTTGCAAATGCCTGCTAAATTTGAAATATAGTTTGAACCAATTCCTGTTGCTATGTTGCTTTGCTTTTGTTCTCACATCAGATGATGGATGACTTTAAATGTTTATATCTGCGCAGAACTGTAAAAATGCTTATACCTCTGTTTTTAAACTCATTTTCAACAAAACAGAGGATGTGGACCTGACAAAGACCATGTGTACTTGCAGTTGCACCATTTGCCACCTCAGCAGCTAGCAATGCGTCTTCCTGGGATTTCAGAAACTGCAATGATATTTGCTGGAGTTGATGTTACCAAAGAACCTATTCCTGTTTTGCCCACTGTGCATTACAATATGGGAGGTATTCCTACAAACTACAAAGGACAGGTATCTTTTCTTAAATAATTTCTGCTTACTGAGTTTATATTCTTTTTGGCACCAGGTCAAAACCTTTTTGTTATTTCAAAAACTAATATTTTAATGTTCAACAGTCACTTTTTATTTAACTTATATTTTCTGGTTGTTATTTATTATATTAATATGGTTGTTTTAATGTGTTTTTGTTTTAATAATTGTAAGCTGTCCTGAGATGCCATGCATAAGGGACGGCATATAAAAGTTTTAAATATATAGATAGATGTGATAACTGAAGCTGTGTAGGACAGCCCCACCTCAGTTTTGCCCTTTTCTTCTTCTCCATTTTTCTCCTGTCATCATTACCTCTCTTGTCTCAGCAAACAGCTTTGTCTTCATTACAAGCAGAAAGCAGTGCCATTTATCATTGTTTATGTAATGTTTGTTTATAAATTACAGGTGATTACACATGTAAATGGCAAAGATCAAATTGTTCCTGGTTTATATGCCTGTGGGGAAGCAGCCTCTGCCTCTGTTCATGGTGCTAACCGTCTTGGAGCAAATTCTCTCTTGGACTTGGTAGTCTTCGGCCGAGCATGTGCTCTTAGCATTGCAGAATCCTGTAAACCTGGTAGGTCTCATTTGTTTTTTCAGTTCCTTAAGCCAGCAGTGAGTTACCTGTGGCCCTTCAGATCTTTTGGCCTATAACTCTCATAAGCCCAAGCCCAGACTAGCCAATAGAAAGAGACTGCAGGAGTTGTGGCCTTCTAAATATTTGGGGCTACAAATTACCCACCTCTATTGATAACTTACCCTGGTACTCTGTAACTGTCTTAACAGTTAGGAATGCTTCTTTTGTGTCTTACTGAGTTGTATGCCCAGGAATCAACTTGTGTCTAAAGAGGCATGAAATTACAATGCAGAATGCAAACAGGATTTTGAAATATGTTTATGAACCACTTCTGTAGCATGAAACTCTGAGGGAAGATCTGTCAATGACACCTTGCTCCTAACATTTCACATGTAAATACTGTACCTAGGCACGCAAATCCTCCACACTTCCTCTTCCCGCTCCTGTCAACATTGGTGATAGGAGCTGCTGCCTAGTAAAGGAGCTCAAAGAACATGTAGGCTAGGGATGATCCATGGTAGTTGATCATACAGAGCAAAATCATTTGAACTATGGTTCCATGTGGATCGCATCATTGTGGAAAAGTTCTTGACTTGAATGTTGTTGCAGGGGAAGGGGGGCAGGTTGGGGGGCAGCCACCTCCATGGCAGTGTATTGAACTGGGACTTAATCTTTGTAGCTCATCACTCTTACCTGCTGAGTTTGTTTCTGCTTTCTGATATGCACTGTTTCTGGTAAGGCAATATTGTAAATGTGATGAAAGTTAACATATATGTACAGCCTAATCTTATACAGGAGATGTTTATAACTGGAATGAAATAACTTCTGCCACTTAGACCAGCACAAGGAAATGCATAAACTGTTCTCAGCAGCAGCTCAGTAACACTATCAAAAGAATCAAAGATACAGAGCCTGTAGTGGCTGTGCAGTATCTCAGTATTGTACCCAACCAAGTCCCAAAGTGATGGTCCCTCAAAAGTGCTCAGTGTTGTAAGCAGTAGCATAGTGCCTAGGTAGCCCTACAGTCTGTTCTCCAGCCTTCTCTATATAGTGGCTGGTGAGAATTGTACGGATGGAAAGCTTTTACTTCTAAGTGGCCTCATCAATTTTGATACTTAGGATCTGGGGGAGACAAGTTGTGGTTGTCCTTTTGTAGCCATGAAATTCAAACCTGATCCTCACCCTCAGTCCTCCAAAGTTCATTCTTGTGTTACAGCACTGCATCCAATTTATTGAAAGGAGTCTATGGAAATTCTATGCATAGAAACCTTCTTTGCAGAGTCATTCAATTGTCCCAACACTGTCAACACTTTCTGTTGACAGTGTTGGGACACTTCTGCTTTCGGTCAGTCAACCATGCCCTAATCCACTGGACAGTGCTTTGGTGTATCCCAAAACTCCTCAGTTTCTCATCCAGGATATCATGGGGCTCTTTGTCAAAGGCCTTGCTGAAATCCAGGTAAACCACATCCACTGCATCCCCTCCATCTAGCCATCTCGAAACCTTGTCGTAGAATTCCACAAGGTTTGTCTGGCAGGACCTGTTTTTGCGGGAACCATGTTGTGTGGCTGCCAGCCTCCTGTCCCTATCTAGCATCACTAGATCTCTGGCTATTATGAGCCTTTCTATTGTTTTTCCTACAATGGACGTAAGGCTAACTGGTCTGTAATTCCCCATGTCCCTTCTACTACCCTTTTTGAAAATTGGGACCACTGACGCCACCCTCCAGTCCTCTGGAACTTCACCCATTCTCCACGAGGCCTCAAAAATGGAGGCCAGTGGATGTGAGAGGACCCCTGCCAACTCTCAAGGTACTCTCGGGTGTAACCCATCAGTGCCTGGCGCCTTTGTAATGTCCAGTGCCGTGAGGAGCCCCTCGACTTCAAGGGGGGGGTGACTCTTATCTGTGCCCCTAAGTCCCCAGCCTCATCTAATCTCCTATGCAGTTCTCCCCCATCCTGCTTTGGGGAGAACACTGAGGCATAATAGTCATTTAGCATCTGTGCCTATTCCCTCGTAGCAGTCACTGGATCCTCCTTCCTCCTTATTTAGCGGTTCCACTACTTGTTCCCCCACCCTTCCTCTTCCTATTTCCACGCTGAAAAAAGCCCTTTTTGTTGCTCTTGATATTCTTGGCAAGTCTCAGCACATAATCAGCCTTAACCTTGGGAAGACTCCTTCTGCAACGGGCCTCCTCCTCCCAGTACACACTTTTGTCTGTTTGCCCCAGTACCCATTTCCTGTGGAGGTTCCTCTTGCATCTAATCCCTCTAACCACCTCCTTTCGCATCCATGGTGGTGCTCTCCTTTGCCTCCCCACCTTACTAACTAGAGGTATCATTGAGGCTTGCGCCTCCAAAACCTCCCTTTTGAGTGCCATCTACCCCTCCTCAACTTGCTCCCCTTCCAGTAACCTATCCCAGGAGACTTTCCCCAGTCTGGCCTTCAGTTGGCCAAAGTTGGCCCTCTTGAAGTCCCAGCTTCTAGTGCTCGACCTGCTGCACGTCCCCAGTCCCGATCTCAAGGCAAAGGATGGAGTGATCACTCATATCCAGAGCTCCCCTAATCTGTACTTCATCTATCAGCTCCTCCCTGTTGGTCAAGACCAAGTTAAGGATGCCCCCCCCCCGCTTCGTCGCCTCTCGGACCCTTTAAGTGAACAACCCACCCTCTACTTCTAGGAAGCTTCTAGGAAGCAACGTGACTTAGCTGTCATCACTGAGTGAGTCTCCCAACTAATATCCAGGAGATTGAAATCTCCCATAATGACTGTGTTCCTCCCCCAAGATATCTTTAGAATCTGGTCTGTCAGGACATCATCCAGGGTCTCAAGTTGACCTGGAGGGCAATAACATACCCCCCACCCCCGGTCAGGTCTCTTTCCCTGTCAAAACCCTGAAGTCTCACCCAGACTGCCTCTATCAAATCCCCATCTGTGCTGCATTCTATCCCACTGCAACCTATCCCTTCCCTGACGTATAAAGCCACGCCCCCACCCCTCTTTCCCTTCCTGTCCTTTCTAAAAAGGTGATACCCCTCTGTGTTCACATTCCAGTCTTGCCTTTCATCCCACCAGTTCCTGTGATTCCCACCAGGTCATACCCTCCTATTCCCAGGAGAGCTTCAAGCTCTTCCTGCTTATTACCCATGCTCCTAGCATTAGTGTACATGCACCTCAACCCCTTCCCACTGCTTCCTTGTTTTGGAGTCCCCAGCTGCCTCCTTCCTCCCATCTTCCCTGATACCAGCTCTCTCTTTGTAGTAGTCCTGTCAGTCCCTACAGTACCTCTAAAACCCTGCTCTCAGAGCCCTGATCCTCTCCCCACACTTGTCCAGTGCGGACAAGTTTCTGGGGGTCTGAACCCACCCCCTACCCCAGCTCAGTTCAAAGTCTTCCAGACAAAACTCACTCGAGCATCTCCAAAGGACCTTTTCCCCATCCTCATGAGGTGCAACCCGTTCCTTGCCATAAGTCCATTGGCAAGAAACCGGGTGCCATGGTCGAGGAACCCGAAGTGTTCCTTCTGGCACCACACCCTAAGCCAGTTGTTCACCTTGGTGACCCTCCTATCCCTGCCTGGCCCAAATCCATGGACCAGGAAGATCGATGAGAAGGCCACTTGGTCCTTTAGGTCCCTGAGTTTCTTCCCCAAGTCCTTGAAGTCCCTGGTGATCTCAGCCGCACCCTGCCTATGTCATTTGTCTGCAGATGGATCACCAGAAATGGCTGGTGACCCCCGGAGTGAACAAGATGCTCCACTCTTTCCTTCACATGTCGGATGCGTGCGCCTGGCAGGCAGCAGACCTTCCTCACCTCAAGGTCGAGGCGGCACACTGCCACCTCAGTGCCCCTCAGCAGCAAGTCCCTGACGATGATCACCCGCTGCCATCTCTTCCCGGTGGTGATAGGCGGCCGTGCCCTGGCCCTTGCCTCTCCTGCAGCAGCCCCCTTGCCGCTTGTGTTCCCAGGCTGGGGGTCCTGTTGGTCCCCCAAGATCTCATCAGCCCCAGCCTCCCCAAGTGGAGAGAACCTGTTTCCCAGCTCCAGATCGGCGCCAGAGGAGGAGCAGACTGTGCTGGCCTCCTCCTCCTGTGGGTGACTTGTCTCCTTATCTCCCCAGCTATTCCTTCCATGGCCCCTCCCTCAACTCTTTGTCTGGAGGGGGACTGTTCCCAGGGGGCCTGGAGAGCTCTCTTGGCCCTCAGGCACCTCAGCTCCTCCTTAAGGAGGACCACCAGCTTGCACCAAGGGCAAGTGTATTCCTGCCTCTCCTGGGGGAGAAGGGCGAACATGTCACAGCTGTTGCAGCGGACAGCAACACCTGTGACTCCCACCAAGGCCATCTCCTGGTCTGCCATTGGGAACCCTTCAGAGACCCTACCTTGGTCCCCCACCTTGTCTGTCCTGCACTACCCCTCACTCGCCCAGTTCTCCCAGACAAAAACACATACAAGCACACAAGGATAAAATAAAAATTTAAATTGGAGGAAAAAAACAAAAAAAAACCCTGCCCCCAGGGAAGAGAGTCTCCAGGCAGCCTGGGCTGCAGCTAAGGGACATAGACGAGGGATGATGCCGTATAAGCCTCTCAGGCCAGTGGCCCCGCCCCTCTGCTTTTTCCTGGCCTCTCTGGCCCTGCCTCCCTTCCTGTCTGCTGCTCCTGTCCTTCTGCTTCTCTGCCCAGCTCCTACCTTATCCTCGCCAGTCCCCTGGCCATCCTCATCACTCTCTCCCAGCCTCTGCCTCTGCTGCTCCACTGCTCTGCCAAGAGGCAAGAGTCAAAATATCATGCCAAGCACTCTAGGGAGTGAGTGTCATAATTGGGTCGATATCACAGAGAAGGCCCTCCTCATAACAGCCCTCCTTACCTCTTTCAAGGAGGGTTCTTGGAGGAGAACCTCCACACATGATCTTAGGGTCTGGACAAACTCATATAGGAGACATTCCCTTAGGTAACCAGGCCCCAAACCATTTATGGCTTTATACATTATTGTTAATACCTTAAATTGGGCCCAGGGTAGTTTATATAGGACCGGTATAATGTATTTTTGCCTACCAGTCCCTGTCAACAGTCTATTTTTGAACCAATTGCAATGTCTGGATCGTCTTCAAGGGCAGCCCCATGTAAAGCACATTACAACAGCCCAAGCAGGTTACCAGTGCATGCATCACTGTTGCTAGGGCCTGTCTGTCAAGGTAAGGAATTCTCTCCTAGCTTTACCTGCTGACCGAATCTGGGTCCCTTTGCACACACAACCTACAGCTCTACTATTGAGATTCTGCACTTTCCCAAGCTGTAGCAAACTCTGAGAATTCCAATGAGTGGAAGAGTAGGTATTAAACTATTGATGGAGAGGTCTTCTAGCTGGGTTAAAATGTGCTTAGGAACTGGACCTGGCCTTGACACAAGATCCTGTTAAAAGAAATGAGAGGGGCCCCAGGGTATGGTAGGTGGAGGTGACCTAAAAGCTATCGGAGTTGGGAAGTGCTCTACATCATTCACTTCTAGGTACCTACTTCACAAAATTGGGGAATTAGAAGGGACAGAAAGAGGAGATACAGGTAGAACACATGACTAGTTGGTAAGTGTTGCCAGTGCCAGTCCTGTTGCAGGTGGGAAATGTTAAGGAATAAAGAAGAGTGAGTTTTGATAAAACATTGCAGCTAATTTATCACTGAGATCTGCAGGCCTCTTTGAACGCACAACATACTGGATACTTCCATAATGAGCTAACTTCAAGAAGATATATAGGTTCTTACGGATAAAATTTTCCCTCCCACCCAGATCTGTTGGGAGGAGTAAAGAGACCCTGGCCACTTTACTAGGAATTAGTACAGTTGCTGATTAATACTGCCTTCATCCCCTCTAACTTGTTCCTTAAAACCACTAATTTTTGCAGATCTAAATAAAGCTTGTTTTTACTTTGATTAGGTGAACCAATTCCACCAATCAAACCAAATGCTGGTGAAGAATCTGTAGCAAATCTTGACAAACTGCGCTTTGCTAATGGAAACATAAGAACATCAGAACTGAGGCTTAATATGCAAAAGGTAAATAGAAATATTTTAACTGGAGGCCAAGAAGTAAAGTGAACATAAAGTAGACATCTGCTATCCTTATGTAACGTCGATGCTGTGTTTGAATTGTACATTCTGTGGAAACTGATGAAACTACTGAGAGTTGCTGATGTGGCATTTGAAAGCAGAACATTTCAAAGATACAATTAACTGCATGAATTCACGTTAGGAGCATGATTATGGATGTTAATACTGGCAGAAACTGATGTAGCTATGTTCAAACATTTTAACACAAATGGTTAATTGTTTTGACAATTATAGGGTGTTAAATCTCTCTTTAAAATTTTAAGAAGTACTTCTTCTCAGTTTTTGTGTGTTTATATAGACAATGCAAAGCCATGCTGCAGTGTTCCGTACAGGTCCTGTCCTGCAGGAAGGCTGTGAGAAAATGCTTAGCCTTTATGGCAGTTTGGATGATCTGAAGACATTTGACAGAGGTAGGTTGTTTGAGTATAGAATACCATTCTCTATAGCATTGTTAATCAGGGTTTCTAGTTGCTACAAAGGCATTTTTCCAAATTTTGAGAAAGGGATCTGTATTTCTTTGATTTGTATCCCACCTTTTTCTTTCAAAGAACTCAACATTCTTCCCCTGCTCCTCTCTTTTTTTAAAGTAAATTTTATTATTATTTTTTACAAACTAAAAAAAGAAACAAAAAAAATCGATCATCAGAGACGTCAGACCTGCTGGGTCAGCCCCCTATTTTTTTTTTTATAGCAATCCATAGACATACTCAAATCTATGCATAGTCCCGTTTCTCTGGCCAATAATAAAAAAAGTTTCAAATTTGATAGAAGTATGTATCCTCTTTCTCCTTCACAGACAAAGTCAACCTGTCCATTTCAGCACAGTCCAGAATCTTTTTTAAAATCAGTTCATCAGTGGGTGGTTCTTCACTCCTCCAGTGTTGGGCAAATACAATCCTTGCTACAGTAATTACGTGTAGAATCAAATACATTGCTTGTTTATCAACATCATCAGGAACAATGCCTAGTAAGAAGACTTCAGGTTTAAATATTAAAGATTTTTGTAACATTTCCTCAAGCCATTTATGTATTTTAGCCCAATATTTTTTTGCCTTATCACAAGTCCACCACATAGGATGAAAAGTACCCAGTTTATGTTTGCATTTCCAACATCCATTTGACATATTTGGAAACATCTTTGCTAATCTATGTGGCGATAAGTACCATCTATAAAACATTTTATTAAAATTTTCTTTATATGAGGTTGCTAAGGTTACCTTGATACTTCTTTCCCACAACCTTTGCCATTTCTGTAACTCAATATTATATCCAAAATTTGTGCCCATTTTGTCATAGTTTCCTTAACTTGTTCATCTTCCATTCTCATATCCAAAAGAAAAGTATACAGTCTTTTAATCATTTTTTCATCTGATTTTAAGATCACTTGGTCAAATGTTGTTAAGTCCTTATAAAAACCTCACATTTTATAATCCTTTAACATATCTCAGTTGTATTTGAACCATACGCCACCAAGAGATATTAATACTCTGCTCTTGTAATTCTTGGTTTGGTTTCAATCCTCCATCATTATCCAAAACATCATCATATTGCACAATCATATCAAAATTCAATGCATTTGGATATACAAGAGCTTCCATAGGAGAAAGCCATCTTGGCAACTTAGTGTACAGTTTTGTCTTTAATTTTTCCCATACCGACATTAATGACTTTCTAATATAATGATTTAAAAAACAACCATGTGTCTTGTACTTCTCATACCACATATAGGTGTGCCAACCCATTTGTAGATCATGCCCTTCAAGATAAAGGATTCTCTTATTTCTTAAAGTTACCCATTCTTTTAGCCACGTTAAGACAGAAGCTTGATAATACAACATCCAATCTGGAAGGCCAAAACCCCCATTCCCTTTGGCCTCCTGAAGCATTTTTAATTTAATCCTTGGTTTCTTCTTTTGCCATACAAATCTCAGAATTTGGGTGTTAAGATCATCAAAAACATTTTTATCAATTTTTATGGGAATTGTTTGGAATAAAAAGAATAACTTTGGTAATATATTCATTTTAACTATTGCTATTCTTCCCAACAACGATAGTTGCAAATTAACCCATTTTTCCAGATCACTCTTAATTTCCTTAAGTAGTTTATCATAATTATCTTCTTTCAATGTAGTACATTTAGCTGTAAGAAAAATTCCCAAATATTTAACCTTTTTAACAATTTGAAGATCTACTTGTTCCGTCAGAGTTATTCTCTGCTCCAATGTAAGATTTTTCACTAGCAGTTTCGTCTTTTCTCTATTTTCATCCCAGTAACTTCACCATACTCTTCTATCTTTTTTAAAAGTTTAGACATTGTTACCAAAGGTTCCTCTAGAATAAAAACTAAATCATCTGCAAATGCTTGCAATTTATAGCTTTCATCTCTAATTCTAGCACCTTTAATATCCAAATCTTCTCCAATATTTCTGTTTAACACTTCTAAAATCAATATAAATAACAGTGGTGATAGAGGACATCCTTGTCTTGTGCCCTTTTGGATATCTATAGTATTTGTAAGTTCCCCATTAATTATTATCCTGGCAGTCTGTTTTTGGTAAATACTTGATATTGCATTAATAAATTTTCCACTAAATTCCATTTGTGCTAATTGTTGTTTCATAAATTGCCAGTTAACATTGTCGAAGGCCTTCCGTGCATCAAGAAGCAAAAATGCCATTGGTTTTTCAGAGTGAATTTCATAATATTCTAAAATATCCAAGATAATTCTCATATTGTTCCTCATTTGTCTTTTAGGTAAAAAGCCATTTGATCTGAATGTATAAAGTCTGTTAGATAATTCTTCAATCTTTCTGCCATTACAGAGGCAAAAATTTTGTAATCCACATTTAGAAGTGATATAGGTCTATAGTTTTGGATCTGTGTCAAGTCCATATCTTCTTTTGGTATTAAGGTAATATTTGCCTCAGTCCAGATATTTAGTATTTTAGCATCTGACAAGTACCATGTTGCATATATCCTTAAAAGGCATAGACAGGATTCCTTCAAAAGCTTTATAGAACTCTGCTGGTAGTCCATCCGGGCCAGGAGTTTTATCATTCTTTTGTCTCTTGATCGCCTCAGTTACTTCTGTCATTGTTATTTCCTCGTTTAATATTTTTTGGTATTTCTCCGACAACTTTGGTAGATTTACCTTTTGAATATACTCATTTACTTTCTCAATTGGAATTTCTTTCTTTTGGTACAGCTTTACAAAAAAGTCTTCCACTATTTTCTTAATTGACGCACTTTGTACCTGCAGTTGTCCTTCTCCATCTTTCAATTTATATATTAGTCTCTTTTCTCTTTCCTTCTTTAGTTTGTAAGCTAACCATCTCCCTGGTTTATTAGCATTTCCAAAAAAGTTCTGTTTAGTCAATTTCATTTGTTTGGTAAGTTCATTTGTATCTAAGAGGTTCAGTTTGTATGTTAAAATATTCATTTGTTTCTTAAGATCTTTTTTTGATGGGTCTTCCTGAAGCTCCTGTTCAAGCTTCAACAATTCATCTACTAGTTTAAATCGTTCCTGCTCTCTCTTTTTATTTATTTTTGCTGAGCATGTTATTATCAGACCTCTAATATATGCTTTAGCTGTGTCCCAAACATTTTGCAAAGAGGTTTCTTCAGCTTTATTTATTTGAAAAAAAATATTAATTCCTTGGTTATTTCTTCTTTAAAATTTTTATCTTTTAATAAAGATTTATTAAATACCCATCTGGGTGTTTTTGTTATTAAATACCCATCTGGGTGTTTTTGTTGTCCCTTTCAGGGTCATGGTTACAGGATTATGATCTGCCCAGACATTTGTATCTATTTTGCCTTCTAACAAATCTGGAACTAAGTCTGGAGTTACCCAAATCATATCAGTTCTAGACCATGACCTATGTCTGTTCGAGTAAAAGTATACTTAGCAGAGGTTAGATTTTTTATGTCTCCAGGCATCTGTTAGTCTGAATCCTTTTAATATATTAAAACAGGATTTTGGGAGTATCCTCCTGCCTTTCTTCTCCTTAGTCTCACTCTTATGGTCTATTTTTTTTATCTACAATTGCAATGAAATCTCCCATTAAACACAGAGTTTGGTAGTCCATTTGCAAAAGTAGAGTACGTAATTTTTGATAGAACGCTTCCTGGTGGTCATTTGGAGCATAGATCACTACTAAAAACACCTTTTTAAGTTTCATTGTGACTTCAACCAACAAGATCCTACCATCTTCATCTGCTAAAATATATTTAGGATCTAATTTTTCCTTGATGTATAATGCCAAACCTCTTTTCTTTTGATGAGCAGAAGATATAAATAACTTTCCGAGTTTTGGACATTCCAAAAGCTTACTATGTTGTCTCTTAATGTGTGTTTCTTGTAGACAAATTACTTCTAGGTTCAATTTTTGAAGTTGAAAGTCCTTCTCCTCTTAGAGGGTGTGTTTAGTCCATTTACGTTCAAAGAGAATTATTCGATTCTTCCTTCCATTTTAAAAGCCATATTTATAAAATATATATTTACCTATTTATGATTAGCCTTCACTCTTCTAGCTTTTCTCTTTTCTTTTGGTTCTGATGTCTGTTTGTCTTCTTGTTGATCTATAGTCGCTATTTCTCCTACCTCAGGGTGATAAGTTATTACATCCGTTACCTCAACATTTTCCCTCCTTCAGTCGTTCAGTCCAGTCATTTATTCATCTTCAAATGAGCTTCTAAATTTTTCATAAAAATCTTGAGCCTTAAAAATTGAATCCAATTTATATCTTGTAGAGTTCCAGGTAAAAAATATCCCTTCTGGTGTTACCCATCTAAACATAAGTCCCTTCTTTGTCAACTTTCTGGTAAGAAATAAATATTTCTTTCGTCCATCTCTAATCCTCTGTGGTATTTGTTTCAGAACAGTCACCTCATGTTGCTCATCAACTCTTAATGCTTTATCATGTACAACCCTCAGAACATTATTTCTTACCGATCTTCTTGCAAATTTAACATGAACTTCCCTTGGTAGTTTGTGTCTTCTGACATAGCTTGAAATACTATAAACCAGGTCAATCTCTTTATCCATGTCTTCATTTTCCAAATCAAGAGGATCTGCTAGCATAGTGTTCATTAATTCCCTTAGGTTTTCATTTTTTGCCTCTGGTATATTCTGAAATCTTAGATAATTAGAAGCCTTCTCCATCTCCAGTATGGCAGCTGAATCCCATAATGACTTTTTTTTGTGTTAAAAACTGTATCTCTTTATCCATCTTTCCAGTCTTTTTGTCAATGTCCTCAGTCTTCTTTTCGACCTCTTGTATCTTTTGCACATTTTGTTCAGTTTTAAGTCGAATATCTGCTAATTGGTTACATACATCCATGACATGACTATCCAGTTTATCCAATTTGTTCATTCTTTCTCTTTGTTCCGAAACAAAATTCCTTTGTTCTGATGTCAATTTTTGTATAGCATTTTGCATAGTCTCTTGAGATGTTTGCATAGATGTTAGAGATGCTTGTATTGCCAAAAGTGTCATTTGTAAGTCTTTTTGGAATTTTTCCAAATCCACAGTTTTGGATTGGTGAGTTGGACTTTGCGAGGCAGACTCAGGTGCTGAAGATGATGAATTTTTTTCATAGGGATAATGATTTAACTAAATGGTCACAAGATGGCAGCAAAAAATCATTCAGCAAAAGAGAGAAAAAAAGTTTTTTGGCACACAATATATCTGTTAAAGGTAAAGTGACCACAGGGTGGCAGCGAAGAGTTGTTTGTTGGTGTAATGAAGACAAAAGGGAAAAAAAAAGTCTCCGAGGAAAACGAAACAGACTTTTTCTATCAATTAATCTGCAGTAAGTTCTGATTTAATTCTTCGCCCTTGGGGAGATTAAGAATCTCCTCTTTTCCAAGTTTCAAATTTCCCCAGTTTCACTTAATCTCCCCGAGATTTGTTGCCACTTGAACTCCGCAGGGGGGGGGAGTTTCTTTCCTCCGACAAGAGGGCTTTTCTTTTTTATTCAAATTGATACTTGTTTCACAAGGTCTTTCACAGGCAATATTTTAAAGAGTTGAATTGCTTACCCAGCAGGTCCGATGTATTTTAAGCTTTTGTTCTTCACTGTTAAACTGGCATTGATGGCTTGTGAGGGGAAGATGTGCCCCTCTCCGTCCCGTTCGACTGAGAAAATTCTCAAGTTTCTCTCGGCGGATGGGGGGTTCTGCTCCCCACCAGCCAAAAGTATGGTCGGGCTTCTAATCCCTGCTCTGACAGGGCTTTGATGGGCCTCTCTTGGCCCTCTGTAGAACAGATTTCTGCGTGAAGTACGGAGCCCTGACTCTTCCCAGCCATCTCGCCACAATGTCAACCGGAAGTCCCACTATGTCAATGAAGTCCCCCTGCTCCTCTCAATCTTATCCTCCAACAACAACCCTGTGAGGTAGGTCAGGCTGAGAGTCTGTGACTGGCCCAAAATCATCCAGTTGGCTCCATGGCCAAGCAGGGACTAGAACCCAGCTTATTGGAGTCCCAGTTCAGTGCTCTTAAGGACTACACCACACTGGCTCTCTGGATTTATTTAATTAATTTATATAGTGCCCAATAGCCAAAGGTGCTTGCTCGCTCTCTCTCACTCTCACTAGAGTTTGACTCAAAACATAATGCAACAGTGGGTTTATAGAGAAAGATATTAAGACTAACCATTTCTAAATGTCAATTTCACAATTGCCAAACATACCTTCTTTCAAACTTTATTCAGGAATAGGTTCCACACTGAAGTTGCTTATTTTGGCTTTTGATGCATGTTTGAGGTGTATCTTCAGTTCATGTGAGTGCAGGAGCAGAACTTTTAGGTCTTGTCACATATGGCCTTGAAAATGCATCTCAGAACATTTCCTTGCAATTTCACATTGCAGGGAAAAATTGGTAGCACTGGGCAGGTGTTGAAGTTGTTGCTTTTAAAAAGATGCCAGTGTGACATGACTGATTTTTTTCATGGAGGAACCTTGGGTGAGCTTCTAATGTTCCCCAGGTTTCATTAAAGAATCTTTTAAGCATCACTGCTGTAAATTCTCAGACCTGTATATTTGTTTAGACAAATACAACAGTTCTACATTAAAGTGAAACAAATTTTGTGTGAAGAAAGGCTGACTTTCTGGAGATTTCTGAAGATGGACATGATGTAAGCAAATTCAGCAGATTTGGAGTTCCCTGCTTCACCATTGCCTACTCACTTTCAGGCCTGGCTTCGTAAGATAAGGTCTAATAACTGGTTATTTTTAAAAGGATCAACAGGAGTTTCATTTGGGTCCATTTTTTCCAGTGCTATTTATGCACTTATGTGCTGTACATACAGTCCTGTTGAAAGTTTTATCTTTCAGGCTAGGAGGATCAGTCAGACAAAAAAATCCTAGTGTTCCATTTGATTTAATAGATACTGTGGTGCAATCAAATTGGCAACAATTTTCTTTCTTGGGTGCTTACTTGAACATTTTGGTAGAAAAGTGTAAAAAAGAGAGAAAGCTGTCCTATCCCCCGTGACATGTTCTTAATTTAAAAGGATATTGATACAGTTTGCTATGCTATGTATTAGACAACTTTGCAGACATGTCACTCCAGTGTATGTTTTCTTGGAAGGCATGTTGTTTATTCCCAGGTACACATGCATAAAATTGGGACCAGAGTCTACATGTAATGTATTTCTGTCTGTCTGGTGTGCTAGCACTGTTGAATTCTTTGGGAAGGTAGCACAATCTGAACTGGCTAAACTGCTGAGATTCCACTTAAACCTTCTAAAGTTATTTTCAAACATTTTGTGGTATCCTAGGTATTGTATGGAATACTGACCTGGTGGAGACTTTGGAACTACAAAACCTAATGCTCTGTGCCTTACAAACTATTTTTGGCGCAGAAGCTCGGAAAGAGTCACGTGGTGCTCATGCTAGGGAGGATTATAAGGTAAGAATATGCCAGTTTAGAAGCTCCTTCTTCCATTAGGTGCCGCCTTGATACTTTCAGATCAATGGAAAGTAACTTCATGATGCTGGCAAAACATCCACTTATCTCTTCTGTTGAGCCAGTCTCCTCCAATGCTAATCTAGCCACTCTGAGAACGTTTTGTGATAGTGACATCATATACTTAAATAAATTCATTCAGGTAGCAGAAGGTTTCCTAAGTTAAGATTTGAAAATCCTTACTTTGGGAGAGACTGATAGTGGTTGACAGAATTTGACTATCATGAAGAAATGTTGTTGTTCATTACTTTTCTATACCTCCCGTAGCCAAAGCTCTCTGGGTGGTATAGAATGACATCATTAAGTCACCTATCCAGGTTTCAACCATACTCAACCCTGAAAGGATCAGACACTTCAGGCTATACAGAAGCTGTAATGTGATGATTAATGTGGCATTAATTGGGTTAGGATATGCCTGCAGAAGCTGTTCACTCTGCATCTGCCATGAAATCAAGAAAGAATCTCACACTGGTTATACTTCATCTATATCCTATTCCTGATCAGATTTACTCTTCCTTGTATTTTCAGCTGAAAGTTAATACTTCATTATTTTGTTATATTTATATCCCACTTTTTGCTCCAAGGAGCTCAAACAGTATGCAAGATCCTCCTCCTATTTTATCCTCACAACAGATTTGGGAGGCAGGTTGGGCTGAGTCAGCAACTCAGCCAGTTACCCACTGATCTGCATGCCTGAGTAAAGACTGAAACCCAGGTCTTCCTAGTCCTGGACTAACACTAATCACTGCACTGCAATGCTGTTAGAGAAGTATGTGCCTGTGATAACCCTGGCTTACATTTAATGTCTTGATATCCTTGATCTTGGCTGCTTTTCCTTTTGCTCTTGATGTGGTCCAATGGCTAGGGTATTGAACTGGGCTGCAGGAGATGAGTTCTAGAGACCACCCTGTTATGAAGTTTACTGGGTGACTTTGGGCCAATCATATACTCAGCCTCAGCTACTTCACAAAATGGTTATGAAGATAAAATGGAGACAAGAACAACCATATAAGTCATCTTGGACTCCTTACCAAAGGAAGAAAGGTGGGATATAGATGTAATTCCAAATACAAAAACAAAACATAAGGTGTTTCTCACTGTATGACTCCACCCTAGTGATCGGATCAAGTCCATTCAGAAAGAGTTTCAGCTTTGTTTCAAGGATAATTGCCTCTGTGGGGTTCAGGGTGTGTGTGTGTGTGTTAGATGACCTGTTTTATAGTTCTAATACAGTTCTAATACTATGTTGGTTAAATTCTACAATTTTTCACAGAATGCATGGAACAATTACACTATTATTTAATTTCATTTATATCCCACCATTCTACCTCTTGCAAGGAACACAAGGTGGCTAACAAGAATCTCCTCTCAATCTTATCCTCACAACCACAACCCTATGAGGAAGATTAAGCTGAGAGTGAGCAACTGGCCCCCAGTCATCCAGTGAAATTTGTGGCCAAGTGGAGACTAGAGAGCCTAGAACTCCCAAGTCCCAGTTCAGCACTTTACCCATTACATCACACTGGCTATCGCATAACTACTTAGAAGAGTCTTCATACATTCACCTGAGAAATACTTGTGCTTGGGTTGGAGGAAGGGGGTACAAGATAAAAAGTACAGAAGGGGGATTCTTGTCAAAAAGTTTCAAGGAATGAAATTTGTTTAAAAATTTCTGCTCCATCAAACCCTAACTTCAATTTTATTATTGAAGCCAGTTTGTTTCTTAAAGCAGATGTTCACATAACTACCCATTCAATATAGAAACCTTGCTAACTCTTTTTTAAAGGCAGGAGCATCCCTGCCCCAACCCCAGCTATTTTCCAATTTCATGAAGATGTAACTTCAGCAGTGCCTCATTTGAGACCTTTTCCAAATAAATTGAGGTGAGGTGGATGGAGTTCGGCAATGAGCAGTTTTTAAGGGGGGGAAAGCATAATCCTGAGAGGGACAGTGCATCTCTATGTCAGCTTGTAATCAGTCATTACAAGTTGTGAGGCTTGTGTGTGGTAATGATGCTGGTTGTGTTGCTTCTGATATGTGACTGTATTTCAAAGAAAAGGTAGTCATTCATTCTGATCTAGGTTTTAAAAACAAATAAAGCCAGCTTTTCAGAATTTTTTGAAATGCTAAATGTTTTGAAACAAAGCTAAGATTAGCTTCTTTACCATAGCTTCAAGATCTTATGTTATCTCACACTTACACTGTGTTCCTTAGACCAGAATAGATGAATATGACTATTCTAAACCACTCGAAGGACAACAGATGAAGCCATTTGAACAGCACTGGAGAAAACATACCCTCTCTTATGTTGATATCAAGACTGGGAAGGTATGTAAAACTCTTGCTTCTTGGCCTTTAAAATGAAGAATTTCATTTGTACCTCATGCTACAGAAATGCTGCCACATGTACTGCACTACTTGATTTACAATATAATGAAAAGGGAGAACTGTATTTGAAGACATGTTTGTGTGTGAATTAGGAGTTCTGGTCTATAACAGGGGCTGTTAAGCTTTTGCAGTCACCAGTGTCACCCTCAGCATTTCCTGCCTCAATTCACATTAATTACTTAACCATATTTAATGTGCAATTACTAGGCATCACCTGGGTGCAGAATTTTGAGTCTGACACTCTGGTTTATGCATTGAAACTGGCTTGATGTTCTGGAGAACTAAAATTTTAAGATTGTGAGAAGGAAAACTTAGAACAATTGCTGAATTACTTATTTTTGCAGCCATTGCAGCTCATCTTGGAACAGGCTGATTCAAATTCATTTTCATCTAATCCTTTTGCCCTGATCCAATTGACAATGCTTAGACTCAATGCTTAGACAAAGCCTTAGAGCCTTTTTATAAATAATAACATCCTGTACATTGGCTGTGTGGTAAAGGGCATTTGGGTGGGGATGTAATGCAGCTGCTTGTTCCTACTCAGGGCCTGGCCTTTTTTAGAAAAGCCATGTATGTCCAGCACCTGGATCAGAGAAGGGAACAGTATGTCCAGCATCTGGCTGTATATGTATCTCCCCATTCAGCTACAGATGCACTTGCAGGACAGCCTTTACATGGATATGCAGGCAAAAACACTTATTGTAAGACTGCTTTGCTGCACTATGAGCTTAAATAAGTAAAACATTTTAGTGTTATAATTTAGAGAATGATCTCTCAATCTGAATTTGTGTGACTTGAAGAAATAGAAAAACTGATTTGAGGTATCCATAGTTTACATTCCACATCTAAATATTAAATATTTTAAATAAATTTCAACTTGATGAAATATTTCTTAAGGGCTGTAATGAGGAGATTGAGAATAAATATGCAAAATAATAATTTTACTTTTGGGATGTCAGTTTTTTAACTTCTCTTCTTTCTTCTCCCAAGGTTACTCTGGATTATAGACCTGTAATTGACAAAACCCTGAATGAAGAAGACTGTGCCACAGTTCCACCTGCTATTCGCTCTTATTAGTTATTTTAATGCATTTTACTATGTTGGCAGGAAGTGTCTTGGTATTCATGTGAACACACTCTCAGTACAAATCTGTTATAATGCACTGACTTTTCCATTGTAGAGGAGTTCAAGAATCTTTTTTTGGCCCTTCATTTCACATTGTGATAAACTTGGCAATGTAGAACTCATGTCTAAAAGTAATCTCAGAATGCAAACCAGCTTTTAACTTTCTCTAGCTTTCTGAAGTTCTGAACATGTTTTGAATGCACCTTTATTTTGACTCTGCAGTTTGTTTTCTTGGAATGAAATATTAAGAAGGTAAATGCAGTGTTATTATAGTTAGTTAAGAAAAACAGCAGCAGGGATGGGCCCTTTGCGGCCCTCTAGGGGCTTTGGCCAACAGCTCCTATCATCCCTAACTATTTTATACTAGGAATATGTGCTGGCTAGGATGGATAGGGGTCATAGGTTGTTTATCCCTGATTTTGGGCATATTCCAGTGGAGTTAAATGCTTATATGTCCACTGAAATTAAAGGGTTTCTGTGCACTTAATTATTGTATTAAGGCTTTTGTATGATGGTAACTTGGCCATCCACATTTCATGCTGCTTTTTAAAAAAATCATAGCTGCTGCAACTAATTTATGAGGTGTAAAATTTTAAAAAGTACCATCAGAGATGCATTAATGCTCAGTATGAGCTTTGTATTTTCTAGCAGATTAAAGACTTTTTAAAATATCTCTCTCCTTCCTTCCTTCCTTCCTTCCTTCCTTCCTTCCTTCCTTCCTTCCTTCCATGATTACTTTAAGAAGGTACTGAATAGCACACTGTTAGAACAATTGAGGGTTTTATACCAGGAACACAACTGTAAAGTCATGTTAACATTGTCATTCATTATGAGAAGGAAGCTGTTTTGAACATATCCTTCAAAAGGGCCAGATCTTAGAGATGTTTATTCTTGATCAGTTGCATCAGTGCTGTAGTATCAATAATGACTGAAGTTCGGTTTATGTTGCAAGGTCTCTGATAAATACTTTGATTTCTTGAACATATGTACTGATATCTTGTCTCAGTTTAGTCTGCATTTGTAAAAAAGTAAATCAGAATCTTAAACAGAAAAAGAACCTAAATGTAATTTGTCATCACTGAAACACTGTGTATACAATGTGTGTATACTTTCTCAGGCTGTATAGCGAAAACCTAGAGTATATTAGGATTTTGATATATGCAGAATAAATCTTACTCCATAAATACTTTTGGATTGGCTCCAAGCATCTTTAGTGCACATGTTCTTAACTTCTGCATCCTTGAAGATGTTTAGAAGAGGATATTGGCCCCTAATTGAATTCTGCAGAACTAGTTGAAGAAAAGTATATGGATCTAGGAGTCCATCTATTGAAATTAATGGCATGTAGTCTGGCAAAGTCTGGATCAGCCCAAAATGACAGCTAATACATGCACTGGTTTATAAGTACAAGCTTTCAACATAAAGTAAATGTCAGATGTTTGAGAGCTGCAAGTGGGTGGCTATGGGCAGCAAGGAGTAAGTGGGCGCCCAGCCACAAGCCACATGTGACTCCCAAGCCTTGGTTGGCCACCCCTGCTATAAATTGCCTTACATAATCCTTATTCTAGATTATTTGATAGATTAAAATCATTTTCAAAAGCATTTCAAACATTCCAGAAGATAAACTATTTTGTGGGGGGTTAATCTTTCAGTATTCCTACAAATTTGCAGTTTCTTCACTAGCAAAATCTCCAGTAAAGATCTCTCTGTAGTGGGCTGGGCCATAAACAAGCTCTGTCTATATTATACATACCAGCAATATCCTATGCAAGAAATGCAAGCAATTTTGCAAAGAGTATCACTATTAAAACCGGTAATGTGAAGTAACTCCATTGACAAAAAAGAACTACTCAGCCTGCTCTGAATTTTAGTAGCCTTGTCATGAAAACTTAGGATGCAATTCTGTACTTGTTTGGACAGAAAAAAGTTCTGCAACTCACAGTAATAGCCAGCCAGCATGCATAAGATTGTCTGTTTAGTTTGAAGACCTAACCTTGTTCACTTGTCAAAGTACAGGAAGTTCTCTTCCTTGGCTCCTGGGTAGATGCTACTTCTGATACCCCATCTGTTACAGCATTGCCTATCTGAATGCACAGATTCCTTCTGAACAGAGCTAAAATACACTGAATCTTCCAAGCAGCTTTTGCATAACATCCAAAATTCAATCCTCTGCAAATTTAGATAGGCGAAAAAGGCCTACAACTCCCAGCATCATCTAGTCAGCATAACTTGCTGGGGTATGCTGAGAATCAGGTTTTTTCGTCTAAGCCTGCATAAGGATTATGCCCTAAAGAAAGGATGGTCAGGTACTTATTTTGCGGACTTTAGTAGAGATGTTAAGATGCAGGGGAAGGAAAATGTGTGGAGGAGAAAATGCAACCCTCCCCACCACCCAACGTTTCTGTTCTCTTTTTTCCAATTCTTCACAACTGAGGAAGAATTAATAAGGGGCCACCAGAAGCCCTGTTCCTGCTTTTCTACTTGCTGTGATATTCTGTGGTTTGTGCCGCAGGATGCTGCCTCTTCTACTAGCTCCTTGCTACTAGTAGGCCATTTTTTTGGTAGAAGTCAATTCAATAGCTAAAGCCATCTGCGTTCCTAGGGAAAGACAGCAACTCGTGCCCTAACACCTGAGGAGTCAGAGTACAGATGGGACATAGGCACAAATTTTGCAACAGGTAAAACAAGGTGTAGCGCGGATGACACCTGATGGGATTACTGCTAGTGCTGGCAAGAGCTGGAGCACGCGCAATGCGACAGAAAAGTGTAAGCGAGTAACTCGAGAAGGTCCCGCTCTCACCTTCGTTCTTTCCTTCCCCACTTCCGGCTGTTGTTTAATTGGCTTGTTTTCGTTACAACCTGCCCCTTTGCACGCCCATTCCGTCTGGCGATTGGATTGCGTAAGGCACAGTGGCCTTGGCGGCTTCTGAACGACGGGCCGTCACTCCTTTCCTTTTACCCTCCCATTGGCTGCCTCTCGCCCCATTCTCCGACCCCTCCTTCTGTCAGCTACCTCCCTTCCAGCCACCATGTACATTTCGCTCCCTTCTCTCCAGCGCTTTTGCTGCGCGAGGGGCGTCCGCCAGGCGCACCAGCTTTCCCCGCGCGCTGCCGCGTCGCTCTTTCCGCGTAGTCGACCTCAGCAACGAAGAATGGTGAGCGCGCGGCTGCTCTTCTCCGGGCCCGAGGGGGAAGGGAGAGGAACGCTGGGAGATGCCTTTGAACGGCCTGTGCAGACGCGCTCTCAGGGCACCTTGGCGACACCTCTGTCCGCCCCCTCCCACCCTCCGAGTGGCAGAAAGAAGGACCTGAAGGCGGGAGGGCCGCAATCGAAGTGGCATGTTCCCTCACTTTGGCATGGGCGAACGTAGCCTCTGATAGCGGGTGGGGGTGGGGAGATTCGACTACGAAATCACGTTGAACGCTGTCCGTAACTCTTTCCAGCTCCGTTAGCCTGTCGTAGCGAAACACCCTAAACTAAAGGTTTACACGTTTGTTAGGGCATTTGCTTCGAAAACACTCAGCTTCATCAGCTGCATGCAGAGTCCATAACATTGGCTTGTATCCATTTATGTATTATTTGTTGTTTCACCATTTTTTCTCTTGAACGTTAGCTAAAGCCCTCACGGCGGCTTACTCAATTAAAAAATAAGACTGCAGCTGTCTGCAGGCTGACCATGTAAAAGACATAATACAAAATGAAAGTGTATTTGGAGGATTAAGAAGCAAATTCAAGCACTAGACCCTTAACTACAAAGTTTAGCAAATCATGGGCATGGTGGAAGGACTGCTGCTTCAGAGGATGACCTTATTTGGAGCTATTTTTAGTAGTAATACTTATATATTCGCTTAATAGAATGTATTTAATTAGTTTATGTGCAAAATATTCAAAGTCACTATTTGAAATGCATATATAAGAATACAGTACAACATGAAAAAAGATTTACAACATTAGTTTAACAAGGCCCATTCATTTCAGTGGATCTACTATAGTATAGTAGGATTCAGAGAATCATTGAACAGTTGGGTCAATGATTCTCTGGCCCCTTCTTGAAAGGGGCCAAGAAAGCCATCAAGTCCAACCCCCTGCTGTGTATTCCAGGTGAGATCTGACTAATGTAGAATAGAGGGGAATGAGTATGTTTCTTTTTCGGGAAGTGATGCCATTACTTATGTGTCCCAAATTTGTGTTTGCCTTTTTTTGCAGCTGCATCACAATGCTGGCTCATATATAGCTTGTTATCTACAACTCCTTTTTCATTCTGTTCAGCCAAATATTCCCCATCCTGTATCGATGCAGCTGATTTTTTTCCTAGGAAGAGAACTTGGCCTTTGTTCCTGTTGGATTGCATTCTCTTGTTTTCCACCCAGCATTCAAGCTTGTCTAGGTCCCACCGGATCTTCTTTTTGTTTTCCAGGGTGTTAGTTATTCCACCCAGTTTAGTATTGTCCACAAATTCAATTTTTTGTTCCCTGGATTTCCTCACCAAGATCATTAATAGAGATGTTGAAGAGTGCTGGTACCAGGACTGAGCCCTGTGTTAGCCCACTCCAACTTTTCTCCAAGTTGAGAAACTACTGTCGATGATCACTCTCTGTGACCTATTTTGAATCCATTTGTGGATCCACCTAATAGTAGTTCTGTCAAGCCCACATTTTGCTAATTTATTTATTATGATGCTGTGGGGCACTTTGTTGAAGACTTTACTAACATAGGTAAATTATGTTCACTGCATTTTCTCTGTCCATTTGGGTGGTAACCCAGTCAAAGAATGAGATATGATTAGTTTGGTATTACTTATTCTTTTTTTTTTAAACAAATTTTATTATTTTCTCCAAAACTAAAAACAATTATTCAGGACATCGGATATACTGGGTCGACATCATGCTCTTTTTTTTTTTTTTTACATTTAAGAACTATATTCAATTCTGCGCGTAGTCCCATTTCTCTAACCAATGATAAAAAAATATTCCAAGTTTGATAGACGTACGTATCTTCCTTCTCCTTCAAAGACAAAGTCAATCTGTCCATTTACGTGCAGTCCAAGATTTTTTTTAGAATCAGCTCTTCATTAGGTGGCTCCTCGCTTCTCCAATGTTGAGCAAATGCAATCCTTGCCGCAGTAGTTATATGTAAAGTCAAATATATAGCTTGTCAGCATTACTTATTCTTAAGAAATCCATATTGGCTTCTGTTTATCACTACATTTCTTCAAGGTGCATACAGATTAATTTCTTAATTATTTGCTCCAGTAATTTCTCAGGGATTGATGTAAGATTGACTGTTCTATAGTTCCCTGGTTTTTCTGTTCTCTCTTGCAGATGGGGAGCATATCAGCTCTCCTCCAGTCATCCGGCACTTCCCCTGTTCTCCAAGATTTATATATAGTGGTTCGGACAGCTCTTGTCCCAGTTCCTTTAATATTCTAGGATGGAGTCCATCTGGTCCTGAAGACTTGGGTGCATTTAGCTCCTCAGGATGCTCCTTGACCATTTGCTGTTGATCTTAGACTGCCATCCTTCCCTTTCATTTTGCATTTCCTCCTCTCTAGGCAGGTCACATTTTCTTTTGTGGGAGAAGACTGAACTGAAATATAAGTTGAGCATCCCTGCCTTTTCCTTGTCATCTGTTAACTTTTTGCCTTCCTTGATGAGCTGTCTCTCTTCTATTTTGTGTGCCCCTCTATTTTGTTTGTCTTTTATATTGTACATAGCTGTAGAAGGCTTTTTATTTTTAGAATGCCTTGCTAGTTTTATTTCATAACTCACTCTTGCCTTCCTAAGTCTTTGCTGTTTGTTTATACTCTTCTTTTGAGGCTCTGCCATCCTCTTAATAGAGAATTCAAGAATGGTGTGGTCACTTTCACTGAGGGAACCAGTGGTTGTTTATCTACCAGATCATGTCGGTTAGTATTAAGTCTAGTGTAGCTGTTCCTCTCTTCCTTTCCTCTACTTTCTGCTGGAAGAAGTTATCGGCTGCATATGTGAGGAATCTCTTGGAGGGGGCATGTTTAGCTGAATATATCTCCCAGAAAATATCAGTGAAGTTGAAATCATCCATAATGACCACATCATGTCTTGTTGTCACACTGACAACTTGTTTTTCTGTGTCTACTCTTTGATTTGGTGGGAGGTAGTAGAGTGGATGACTACGTTGTTTTTTGTTGTTTTTGTTTTTTGTTCCTC